GTTACCTGTATAAAAGACACCTGGGAGCCAGAAATATTTATGATTGAGAGGGCGTCAAATACTTATTTCCCTCATTAAAATGCAAATCAATTTATAACATTTTTTACATGCGTTTTTTCTGGATTTTGTTGTTGTTATTCTGTCTCTCACTGTTCAAATAAACCTACCATTAAAATTATGGACTGATCATTTATTTGTCAGTGGGCAAACGTACAAAATCAGCAGGGAATCAAATACTTTTTTCCCTCACTGTATGGTACAAAATATGTATTACCGAAGCTATCAACAGAGGGTGTGTACTGGATTAACTGCACTTGTGGCAAATGCTATGTTGGGCAAACAGGACGAATGGTCAGCAAGAGACTAAAAGAACACCAAATATATATTAAAATTATCCCAAATACAACTGTCAGCAGTAGCAGAACACGCGTGCCAACAAGGGCACTCAATTGATTTTGATAATGTTGAAGTTCTGTGCAAAACTAGCTACTACTAGCCAAGACTAATTAGATAATATATCTAAATCGAAAAAAATAGAAATAAATCTACCTGTTCGGATAGCTACCGACTTAGTGCTGCGTGGAAGCGAATCATCAAATTTTACATTGTTTAAACGCATGCCTATACAGGCCACCATGCTTCAATAGGGATTACCGTTGGTAGGGCTATTTTAATACACACAATGGACAGGAAGGATAAGTTCAATAGGCTCGCATAACGTACGTTGACTCATTAACCCCCCCACCACCACTTTACGCAAGAGCACAGAAGCGTGGTCACCACCTCTACGCCTCTATATCAGGAACGAAACAGGTGGACTTCTCCACAAATCTGGCTGTCACCTGATGAAGCTAGTTGTAATTACTGGCGAAACGTCGTACTCAGATTGTAAATGTTGTAGCTTGGCTCTCCAACACACCGGTGTGCTGTACTAGTGACGAATTGGCCACGTTCTGTTGACGTGACAACCCTTTCTAGTTGGCTGTGTCGGGTGATGGAGGCTTTTAACGACATATTTATATTTACATGATCTAACCCAAAACACCTCTATTATTAGCAAGTACTATCCAAACCCAGTCATAGATTTATTCATAGATCCAGTCAAAGATGTATTTTAGTCATTTCTGGTTTAAATTTAAATCCCTTCCCTTTATAACTCACTTATCCTCCGCCATTCCCAAGTCTTGGGTCGTATTTACTGACCCAGCAGCATAGCTTGAAAACTAGAGCCAAGCAACAATTTTAAGCATCATTTTGATCCTCAGTGACCCAGAATTAGTCAAGTTGGACTACATTTATTTCGGAAGCATTTTGGCTGTAGACCAGCGTTACAATTAAAATGACTTCATATTGTTCTTGTAAAACCACAAGGTGGCGTCACACGCACAAACATTAAACGGCAAAAGTGGCGCTTGTGAAAAATATGTCGTTCTTGGCCATCGGTAAATCCACGTTCTGTTAAAGCCTCAGTAAAATGACATTGATGAATGCGTTATTTAATCCTCGGTATAAATTCCAGGGTTCCATGTAATGTGGTTCTAAGACCTTATCATGTAATATTAAAAGCATGGTTTGAATGTAAGCATCTATACTTTAAGTGCACGTGATGATAGTTAAGAGAATTGATGAATTTGGTTAGTCGTTAAGTCACAGCATGATGTTGTTGTACTCGCAGATCTCAAATGTTTACCATCTTTCGTATTAACTTACGCTTATATAGCGGATTATTTATGAACTTATTTAAATGCATCATGTAAACATTGGTCCAAAACATCTGCCGTTGTATTTTGAAACCCCTATGCTGTACCGTCAACACACTCGTTTGAATAGGGATCCGTCACAGAGATAGACGTTGCAGGACTTTTCTCACCGTCTTTTAAAATTGTCTTTTAAAATATCCCCCACTTTATTATATTGTGCAGCGTACTGTTTATTCAGTATTTGTGTCATAATCATGCTGTTTTTCTTATCTGCGCATGGCTAAGTGTGTTGTTCAACTATCAGTCTGTAAAAATGTGTGTTTGTGCAATTATTCCCACTGGGTTTAGGCCAACATGCTCACTGCATGTTAAATGCCTTACTGTATCTGTTGACAAGAGGATTATTTGCATGACGGTTTAAAGTATGTCCACCCAAGCCTTATTATTGCAGCAGGCTCAAGGTGAACGGCTTATAACCATTCCCTGAGTTGGATTCTGCTTTGGTTAGTAACACTGTGTATTTCAATATTAAGTCATTTAATCATTTGGTAAAATCCAGCATCTATCTGACACTTTTAACCACGACATTTTAATTGATTACAGTGTACAGTATTTGATTTGTTAATGCACGCATTTCTAAAACAGTGATATCGATTCTATGAAGAAAGGCCATGAGCCAAAGGGTTACCGATAATATATATATTCCTTTCAGGACACTGTTTTAGCGAGACATATGTTGTTATTTTTTAACACGTACATTTGTATCACAATAAGGTCTGTCTGAAAATACATACTGTATGGCACACGGCATGGTGCCACATTTTTTTGGTGAAACTAATGCGTTGATGCACATATTATATACCTGATTGTAAGGCATGACATTTAAAGCCATACTTCGTTAGACTTTTAAACACAAATCGTGACCATTAGTTTCAACAACCAAACCCTAACTGGAAAGTTCTGGCCACTTCCAGGAACATTAGCAAATCATGTCTTAGAGCTAATGCATGAGCACAGAGTGACGCTTGAACATTTGTACATATTCATTCACTAACCCAGCGGTCGGGAACCTATGGCTCGCGAGCCATATATGGCTCTTCTGGTGACGGCATATGGCTCCCAGACAATTTTGAGTTGAAAAAAAATAAAAAAAATCAGTTTGGAACTGATTTTAAAATACTTGTGATATTGCTTAATAATACTGTGTCATTTTAAAGTAAACAGAAATTAGTTTTGAAGATACATTTCACGGGTCACGGGGCCTCAACGCCTGCATGAAGCTCAACCTCACCACATACGAACCAGACTACTACAAGGCCATCAGCAAAACCACGCAGCACCAGAAGTCGCATTAAAAGTAAGACATTTAATTTATTATACGTGAAAAATACTATATGGCTCTCAATGCAATATATTTAGAAATATTTGGCTTTTATGGCTCTCCCAGTCAAAAAGGTTCCCGACCCTTGCACTAACCCTTCGTATGTTGAACTTCTTTTGCACCGTACGTGCTCATCAGAGGTGCGAGCATATTTATATCTATTAAATGACAGTTATCATGTGCTACGTATGAAAACATGCTTACAGTACTATATATGAGCTCTTACGGGCACCTGTAAGTAGAGAGGACTGCGACGTTGGTTTGAAGGTCATTATTGCCTTGACGTCAACGTTTCACGGAATATTCAGATGTTTGCTCCAATGGAATAGGTGAATTCAACGAGAGTAAAGGATGCCTATGCCTCTTCTTGGTTCTTTCGGTAAAGTCACGTAGAAGGGAAATAATAAAATAATAAAAATAAAACATAATAATTATCACGACGTTTCGGCCACAACGCTTGCGTTGTGGCCGAAACGTCGTGAGAATTATTTTATTATGTTTTATTTTTATTATTTTATTATTTCCCTTCTACGTGACTTTACCGAAAGAACCAAGAAGATGAATCCCTGCAGTCACGAAAGCTTTAAATCGAAAGATGCCTATGCTCATAAGAGCAGAGTTCTGGAGCAGCACTTATCTCTACTGGCAGCCCCGTTGGCAAATTCGACATTCCCATATTTAGGGACATTCTCGAAATCTTTATCATAATCCGATGAGCTATGAAGCTCGTTTTCACAGATGTCCAGCACTATATAGGATGACCACCAATGTCTTTCTCATATTATCGATCCCAGAGGTATGACACACACAATAACAATTCCAACAATAATTTATGCACATCATACAAACAAAGAAGACACGCAGGAAATGGAGTCTCACAAACCAAACGATGTATACAAATGCATATTAGAATCAGAATATTTATTTATACTGGGGGCATCCAATGAGCTCTACAGCTCTTTCTTACTGATGTCCAGATGTCCAGTATATACGTACACACACAGCAGCGATGCCAAAACTAGGGTTGTTAAACGATAAAAGATCAACCGAGAACCGGTTTTCCGGCTAGAATACTACTTCCAAAAGTCAGGGGATTAGAAATATTTTGCATTTCTAGTGGAATTTCAGTGAATCGCTGATTGGCACGCACGGACTACAAACAGCACGGCGGTCAAGGTAACCACGTGCCATATTTTTGCCCTCGTTTCTCAGAAAGTAAACCCCTGAAATTGCCTCGCTTGCTTACCGCCAATGGTGACGGAATGACCTGCCCACTGAAGGCAGCTCTACAGAGCGTTTGGTCTACTCTTCCATGATGATCTGGCATCTGGAAAGAAGTGGGTGGGCATACCCACATTTTATCTTACCAGGCACGGCCTGTCGATTGACTGTGGTGAAACCATTTATACTGCTGGGCGGATAGAGGCAAGGGGGGAGTAGGAATGGAATTGAAGAAAATCATCCCGTTGTTTGAACTGCCATGCCTGGAGAATGGAATCGAACTAACGGCGATATCTGGATTCCAATCCGCTGAACCGTCCCCCTACGAGAGCTGTTTAAAAACAACGAATAACGTTACCTTTATTCGAGACATTCGACTAAGAAACGATGGGGCTTCCTGTAAGATTTATAACCGTTACGAGTTACTGCTAACAAAACGAAGACATTTCGAGATAAAGCCGCACACCGATAACCAGCTACATATATGTGGCTTTTTCATGCGTTTACCACTCACCAACCACCCCCTCCCCCCTGGTTTGATCAACTCTGGCCCAAAAACGCCACCAAAGTGCGCAAGACAGAATGAGATCAGTAAGGGAGGTGCACCGCACGGAAAGTTCACCCTCGGGAAACTGACGTATATCGGACATTTACCTCCCACCCACCCCCACCCACCCCCATCCTCCTTCCACACTCTCCCCTCCACCAAACTCCAGGGGCAAAAGGACCCAGGGCTCAGTTGCAGCCAGGATAACAACCAACAGCACGCCGCCCCACGCAGAGATCCAGGGCGCACTGCTGGTGATAGGGAACCCTTCTTTTGGACGCCGACCCCACCTCCTCCCACGTGAGTATCGATCGGTGCGGTGTGACCGTCATTGGGCATGGAGATTGCACTGCCCCCCGTCAGTTGTGCGAGTCTCTCTGTGTCGTTTTGTGTGGGTGGTTTAGTCAAATGAATTGACGTGTGCTATCAAATACACAATAGTTTAGAAGGGGGTGGGGGGGGGAGGTTTTCGCACAAATGATAATGATTTCGATGGTAAAGTTTGTAGTTTACCTGGATTTTATTTACGCGTTTGATTTTACTTGACTTTGGCGTAATGCGTGCAAACACACCTGCGTGTGTGTGTGTTCATTCACACTTTCGTTGTCGAAAGAGGAAAGATATGGGTCTTTATATCAATGAGCAGCATTAACTACCGTACTGCATTGAAACGTTGCTCTCTGACAATATATTGTTGAACCTTATGGCGGGACCCCGGGGTCCCGAATAGACGGTCAAAATCGTAATGAATTGATTTATTTTTGCCGACTCCGTCCCACCGCGCACATAAATGCCACGACCCACGTGGCGCGGATCATTCTGTTGTCACGTCGTTGTCCAAGCGCAGCAGCGAGGACGAATGCGCAGAAGAGCTGAACAAGCGAATGCCACTCCATGCTCGGGTATGGGCAGGATCATAATAAGTGATATCCAAAGCTGCTCAAACTGCCTACACGACTTAAATCCTTTATTTGTCATAACGGTATGCATAATACAGTGAAACTGCTTTCTTATCTTCATTATTATTTGTGACCTACCAATGTCTGCAGCCAGGATCAATCTATGACAATCCTATTAGCTGCACCGTTAGTTCCTCCTGTTTGATAAAACTTCTCGTGTCCGTAGGCATCTGTGCAGATAGGTTTTTTTGCGGTTAAGCCATAGTCCCCACATACCTCTCGTATCAATGCGGATAAGAGGAGCGGCGACCCACTACTCTGTAGAGTAAAATTGGTATAAACGCTTGTTACAATATGAACAGCGCATTGAAAAAGGCGTGCTATTTTATGTACTGTTTACAAAGTGTGTTCACAAATCCACACTGAGAAACACGATGATTGACAGAGGGGGTGTAAATTATTTTTTCGATAGTGTATTTAAATAGAGGTACTGCAGGTAAGTAGTTTTAAAGCGCATAGATTATAGTTTAGCAAGACAACACTTGCCACCATCCTTCAAAGCCATTGTTGAAAAAGAGCAAAGCTTTTGTTTACATTATTATATAAAATGTTTATGCGAGAGCCGGGGGCTTATGGGACCCCGGGTCCCGCTATAAGGTTAATTTTATATCAGTCTTAGACAACCAGGCTGCTCTTAGAAATGAGATAATGAATCTCAATTGTCTCTCATCTGGCTAAAATGCATCAATCACTATTGCACATAAGACATCTTGGGTTTTGTAACGTATTTCATAAGGTTGTAAAACACTGGTCAACAACAAAAAAACATTTTTTTCCTAGCCTGGACTTTTGCAGCTGTTTTAGACTAATTTCAGGGTGCTGATTCCAAATCTGATCTCAGATTTGCTCTATCACCTCTCATTTTTATGCTATAGGCATACCCAATTTTAATTGATTTTACCCGAAATTAACTCTGCCACTTATGATTGTAAGTTGTTGCGAGTCAGTGACTGCTTTAGTGTTAAAATATGGTGCTGTATTTTTAGGATAGTGTGTTTATAATATCATTTTATGTAGATATCCACATTTATTTCATATTTTTCTTCTGCAGTTTTTATTGAAAATGCAATATTTGATATCTCAAAAACCTGATGTGATAGACAAAGACTGATGCCAGATTTGGAATCAGCACCCCAAAATGACCTTAAAACCGTTGGGATACCTTATGCCAGAAAAAGCGTGTTGACCAGTGTAATATGCGTTGTATATGTATATGAGGCTATACACCAGGAGATTGAGTTACCTATTGCAAACCACACTATAAAGCATCATATATTGTTATTATATAGGAGTGGATCAGTGGCGCTATTTTAACCGAACGACACGAGTGCTTTCTGGTCTGGGCTAACATCAGTGGCGAGTGATACCTGACACAGTTCTAACCCTCTACCCCCCTCCACCGTCTCGCACTGACGCTGGTGGTGAAGAATGGAGATCACATCCCGTGACTGCCACTGTGCAAGGCAGGCCTTCACACAGCAGTGGCTTTGCAAGGTGTACATCAAAACTTGTTCATTCTATAGTACTACAGTGGCATTGGTGGCCTTTTGATATCGCAGTCCATTCTAGATCTGAAGCTTTCGTGACTGCAAGGATTCATGCTCTTTGGTTTTTTCGGTAAAGTCACGTAGGTAAAAAAATGAAAAAATTAATGAAAACAATTAAATTAAATCAGGTGATGACGGACGCTTGTGTTGCGCCCGAAACGTCGTGATTTAATTTAGCTGTTTTCATTAATTTTATTTTTTACCTACGTAACTTTTACCGAAAAAACCAAAGAGTATCACAGTCCAGTCGATTGTGTTGTGAGTTCAATGGGCAATGTCTTGTCTGTGTGAACTTGTATGTATCATTGTTACTACACGTGTGTAGGAAGGCAACGTGCATGTTGAGCTGCGTCATGATATGCACTCAATAGTGAACTGCACATGGAAATCAACACGCTGTTGTCAAGTGTTTGTGTTGAATCTATTTTTTTTATAAAGTTGAATAGTCTGCACATATTCACGTTACAAATTGTTAGAATCTGCCCCACTACTATATTGTCTCAAGCTATGTATGTGCATGCTTGTCTCGGTAAACTGCCCAGTGTGTTCTGAAAATGATTCACAGTAAATATCGTATAACGATCAGATATTTAGTTGTTGCGTTGAACACAACAACGCTCCGTGACACATACAATGGGGTTATTGAATAGCAATCAATATAAAGACACAGCGATGGGGGGGGGGGGGAAATACACTACCTGTCCATTAAAATAAAAACAAGTGTATTCAATCAATGACAGCGGTAGCAGTGTATGTCACTGTTTTTGATTGATTTCCCTTGTTAGTCAGCCATCAAAATCTGTTAGGGTAAAAATGCAGCACATGCGTGTATTAAATGTTTTTTTTATATTAACCAAACAATACCACGTTCTGTATATGGTTCGCGCTCATTGTTTTGTTTAGATGTAGCAAACACCGTTATGTTAGTTTTAGCTAACTAAAATGTTTACATTTATATTTAAGACCTTGGAGCGGACATATTCAAATCCACGTACGACCTATAATACTTGATCACTCTTCATAAATACCCATTTTGCATGTGGGCAAAAACCCCAGATCACTTGGAGAAGTCATCAGGTATGAGTTGATTTATAGTCCGTGGTCCGCATAGATGGATTCACAAGTATATTTTCGGAACTACCGTCTACTCGCCATCAGACAGCCAACAATGCTTGACTCAGGGAGGAGGACGCCCCTGCCATGCATAGTCCCATGGAATGTTGGCTATCAACAACAAGGCAACTCCTATGACTAATTGGGAATGGGACGCAAGCGTAGGATTGATCACCCTGTCGCTGGCCGCCTTTGGGGAGGGTGTATAGTGTGAAAGGCCGAAACACCCTAGGAACCAAAGGTTCACTACTGACGATGCGCTCCCCAAATTTCACCAGGCTCACTGTTCATGAACTCTTGGAAGTGCTTGCACAAAGGATAGTAACATCTCATCCTGTGTTCTTTGGAATCGGAACTACCGTCTACTAGCCATCAGACAGCCATGGGTTACAGACAGGGCTTCATTCATCGCTGACTTTTCTTTTCGTGTCGCTGGTAGACTGTAGAATGCATGTAACTAGGAACCGCAGCCATAGCAATAAGTATACTAGATGTGGTGTGCTGGATGAGGACATCTTTTCAGGTCGTCAACGCAGAATATAATCGGGCTGGAATTAAGCTCTGATTTCGGGAGTTTCACAAATCCGTGTAATCCACCAAACCTTGCGTATGAAACAGGACTATTTCCCAAACATCGCCTAATGTATATGTTTTTCCTTTAGAAAGTGTGAGTGACGCACATTTTGAGTTTTTCATTATTGTGCTTGGCCTACCACCGCCAACGCAACGTATCCAACTAACGTGCCATCAAAGTGCAGTACATAGGCAGGCACCACATCAGGTTGCTCACGAATTATACTGCACAGCCAAACTTCTGTCAGCTGTCTCTGCTCACGTGCCTCCCAGAGGGACATGCATGGTTAGCGAGCCCCTGCAGGTGTCTCACTTATTTTGCCGGCCAGGTCTGTGGGCCCCCTTTTGGAACGCACATGTTTCCTGGCTGATGTCGGCATTATCGGTACAACGTAGAAAGGAACAATACAAGGCATGTTCAAAAGGAACAGGCAGCAAGAGGTTAGGAAGCTGACATGCTCACACGAGCCGCACCGACTATTCCCAGCATTATAGTGGCAGTCGGGCACAAACCCAGTTCATGGAAAGGGCGCTATACAAATTCCAAATGGAATAGAATGGAGACGGAGCGACCTGTTCTGTATTTAATTTCTCACCATTGCCACGTGTGGTTAAATTCAGGGCAGAAGCTTTATGTTTATTGCTGAAAGTTAGAATCACGGTTCGGGAAAACTATGCCTGGTGGGGGGAAAACGATAACGCGTAGAACAGACAACATTGTCTCCCTAAACACGACTCAGGGTTTATCACCGACTCAAAACATTTGAGTGGCATCATCCCATATCCATCTAGCAAAAGGACACGACTAAAATAACAATAACAGTTTTGATTTAAAGCTTTCGTGACTGCAGGGATTCATATTCTTGGTTCTTTCGGTAAAGTCACGTAGAAGGGAGATAATAAAATAATACAAATATAAAACAATAAAAAAGGAATATATAAAATAAAAATAAAATAAAATTATATTTGCATTATTTTATTATTTCCCTTCTTTACCGAAAGAACCAAGAATAACAATAACAGTGGTTGAGACTGCTAATGTTTGGAAGACCAAGATGTTTACAAAACCCTCAGCCACTTAGCTTGAACATATGATGCATACGATGCATGTATAGATTGTCGTTAGATCTTTGGGGCATGTGCTATTAGTTATGACCTAAAACATCTGGCACTGTGAAGACAAGGAGAATTGGCGAGATGTGTGGTAACATCAACGGCTTTGGCAATGATGAAATATTGATCTTGACTACACATGGTGAATTGGTTTGGTCAGAACCAATTATGGCCATGAAGCCACATTATAAGGCAGATAAACGCTCATATAGGACGCCACGGAATGGGAGATGTTAACTACTTTGCCTGGTATACAGGAGGTCGTGGATTCAATCCCAACATTGACGCCGGTATATTTGGAGTCTGGATGTTCTCCCCGTGGTTGCGTGTATTTTTTTTCTTCGGGTCCTCCGTTTTTTATATCCATATTTAGAAACATGCGTTTGGGTTATTTGGCTGCTATAAATGTCCACTGCGATAAGCCACTTCGTTGAGCTATCATTTGTGGCCAGGTCGCTTCTGAAAAAGAACTGTAAAGTGTAGCTCAGTGGGCCTTACCTGGTCAAATAAAACGTTGAGTTTTAGGTTGTGTTTGTAAAGACACACGTGTAGCTAAACACCAATCATAACAATACCATTATAATACAATTATAACATTGGCTGGCAATACAAGCCAAATATCCATTGTTAGCTTATATCCCATGTGCCTCAGTTTAATTACTACTGTGTTGGCTAATGTCCTGGATATCCGCAGTTAAAGTACAAAGGTTTCACAAGCTCACAGCTCCCTGCTACATGATGTGCGCATTGCTTGGTCAACCACAATGTTCTGTGAAATTACTTTGGAGAAAAAAAAAATGAATGTAATGCCCTGTCAACACATAATATCCATTTATATAACGAGTCTCTAATATTGTTTACACTTTTACTTTCCATGCCACAGTGTTGTCTTATGGTGGCCCCATTGCATAACAATATTATTATTACCTACGTATGTACGTTGAACTTCATTCGCACCGTACATTGCCAACTGTGCACGGGAAGGACATCAAACTAAACACGAAAACCAGTTCTAAAGAAGTTAATGTACACCACTGTCATGGGGATTATTTTACAAAAATTCACTGTGCTCGTCAGTACTGTTTGGTGAATGCCAGGAGCGTAGATACAGTATAACAATGCATTTTACGAAAACTCAACTTTTTAGACATTTTACCGGGGAAAGCCAACTGAGCTATGTAGCTCTTTTTCAGAAGCGACCTGGCCACAAATGATAGCTCAACAAAGTGGCTTATCACGTGGAACTGTATCGCAGACAAATACTCTAAATAAAAAATGTTGATTCTAAATGTGGACGGAACAACCGGAGTACCCAGAGAAACATCCAAACGAATACGGGGAGAGCGACACGCAAACTCCGAATATACAGCAGTCTGCAGGGTCTGGATCGAACCCACGACCTGTATACCAGGCGAGGTAGTTAACATCTCGCCACCGCGGTGCCCTATTGTCCCCGCAGTCTCTCACACCTGTTATGCATGGTGGTCACCTATCAAAGCCCTATCCTGGCCCAATTCTGGGTGATACTTTCCTTTGTTAAACACGTGGGATGCTTGTGGTATACTGCATGGCTTAAATCTTGTTATCTTCCAAAATCTTTGACCGTGTCAAAATCCTCCCCCCTAATTGTCAAGTTAATATTACGTGGTGTATTATAGCTTACTTGTATCGATGCCGGCAACAGCTGATTTAATCTCAGATAGCTGGTCTTCAGTCAAGTTGTATGTGAAGGGTGCAAAATCAATTTGTCGTTTTATTCGAAATAGAACAAAAAACCCAAACCTGAATTAATAGCATAAATGTATACTTGTTAACCGCACACACACACACAGCTAACCCAGGTAACTTCCCTCCCTGGGAGGGAACAAACAAAACAAACCAGACGCTCTTGTGGAGCATGTATTTGGCTCAGTCGATGGCTGGTTAACCATGGCAGAACAATTCACAAAGCCACTGAGTGAATTTCCCTTAGGGTTTTTATGCCCGCCTGCTTCAAAACACATCAAACAGGCTCTTAAAGTACTACCAGATTTTACACTTCAAGGGATTACTGTACTTATGGAACTATCCAGCTAAATGGAGCTGTTTGTATTATATTAAATCAAAATGGTTGGCCACAAAACACTCTGTACACTGAATGTTGTGCAAATAAACGTGTACGGCTTTCCGCAATCAAAAACGAGGCCATGAAATTTGGACATTTTTGTTATAATTCAGTTTGGATCATTAGGTTAATGTACGCATAACCACGACTCTTTTTTCTGACAACAGATGGCACAATAATGTACGAATGCTCCAATTTATTGAAAATGCTTTGGCAGAGTTTCACAGTCGTCCATCAATGAAGCTTCTGTTCTCAAGCAAAAATAATCACTGCCGATTTTTTTAAAATCTGTTTCACTCTGCCGAAAATTGTCCTATATCCTCCTTGTATATATACAAGGTAACATTCGAGTATGTTGTGACTTGGCCACTGTTCGTGTATTTTAACCAAATGCCAAAACTCACCAGTCAACCATCAACAATACCACTTACAATACTCCGTGAATTTCAACATTTTCTATTGTGTACGGCGGACAATATAAACAATGAATATATACTTATAATGCTGCACATTATTTAACCAGGATGAACCCTTGAGATTCGTATCCTGTGTCTCGCAGGGTGCTCAAATATGAAAACAGGATGCAGTACGCATTAATATTCAGAACAAGAATGTTATGCAATATAGACAAGCCAACGTGATTGTCAAAGCTGGAGATGTTATCCTGAATGCTGCTTTCTTAGTATGTTATGAATGTTGTCTTACAGACAAGAAAGGAGCTATTAATCCACCCTAGGGTTATTTTATCCAACATTAAAATGAATAAATATTCAAATTTTTTGCCCCATTATTTTTTGGTAATAATTAATAATTATTATTCGCAGTATGTTTCTTCATCATTACACCTCATTTGCCAGTACCAAAATATAATAATAGGGTTTTTCCCCTTTTTTCTGGCAACAAAACTGAAACCTTTTAACAAGGATTCATGTCTGCATTAACCACAATACTTGCAGTCAAAATGCAAACAAAAAACACACTGATAATATATGCATTGACCTTGAAACTGATTGGTCCACACCAAGGACAATGCATATATTATCATAGCGTGTTTTTTGTTTGCATTTTGACTGCAAGTATTGTGGTTAATGCAGACATGAATCCTCGTAAAAAGGTTTCAGTTTTGTTGCCAGAAAAAGGGGAAAACCCTATTATTAGTATATTTCTTGTTTCAGAAATTCAAACAAAACCTGAGCGGGTACTGTATTTTAAAAGAGTGGAAAATTAAATCCCAATGGCTTGATGGTCATGCACGGTATTGTTTTAGAATATATCTTTACTGCCCATTGTACACCTGTTTATAACGCAGCTAATAGTAATAACATTAATACTTGCTAAGTCAAAAGTGATTTAAAGTTTTCTTGACTGCAAGGATTCATACTCTTTGGTTTTTTCGGTAAAGTCACGTAGATAAAAAATCTAGAAATGAAAAACAACTAAATTAAATCACGAAGTTTCGGAGGCAACACAAACGCGTTTCTCTATTAGCTCTCTTCACTTGCTACAGTGATTTTGGCTGTAACGGTTCCATCCTGAAGACGGAAGCTTGTGTTACCTCCGAAACGTCGTGATTTAATTTAGTTGTTTTTCATTTATTTATTTTGTACCCACGTGACTTTACCGAAAAAACCAAAGGGTATAAGTCAAGAGTGGTTGTCCTATGGATAGACATGGCCCTGCCATATGAACGTAGAAACATTAACCGCTGGGTGACATCTCCACCAGTGGACATCAATGCAGCCCAATGTTTTATTTGAACACGGAGGCACTTCAACTTTGGCTGTATTCGTATTAATGTTTTTATTGTAAATCGCATCTTCCAACACAATGGGACTTTCTCCAATAATATTGTTTTGGGAAAAATAGCTGAGACTCCACGGCCGTGGTTCAGGAGGAGTGGCTGAGCTTTGTTGGGACCGGAATTGCTGTCGCTGGCGGGGGACAGGCTGACATCCATAAAAGATGTGTTTCACACGCTCGCACTTGCAGCTGCAGCAGCACCATTGTCCGCATGCCGTACCCTAAGAAAATGGGCTCTGTTCCCCAGCTGTTTTCCTGTTGCATACATGACTTCACCGAGGCTCAATGCAGCGTGTGCAGGTGTAAACAGTGAACGTGCTATTTTGGTGAAATTGTTGTTATCATCTTTCTTCCAAAAATAATTATATCTGTCGTCCAGTGTGTTGCCAAGCTTGGTTGCGCCTGTAATCCAGTGACTTGTAGGTTGGGTTGGTGGGTTATGCAGAGATGTGTGCGATACCCACCTGCTAGGCAATAAAGGCAGTTGAGTAAGTAGGTTACGGATCTATCATATTTGTGGAATTTCAGTGTTACCTCATTTTAATGGCTTCCAGCTTCTACCCACACGCAATCCTTTATACAATGCATTTTGGCCAACTATTCCCAGAGTCCTTCTGAAAACAAAACCGTGTGAATCAATGGGGCTTTGATGTGTAAATAGTTATTATTATTACAGCACATATTTCAAATTTATAATCAAGCGCCAATATATAATTGCAGTTCACCAAAATGTAGAAATGAATGTTGGCTTATTTCAGATCACACTTTGACGATTCTGGATCCACGTGGCACGAAAAACACTTTAATCATCATCTCCAACTGTTTCAGTTTTGACCGCAGTTTTTTTTTCTCATTTCAAAATTGTGATACGTGGTATTTTTCCCCCCCAACCTTTGCTTTGGCCTCTCAAGCCAACTCCAGTCATCATGCAGCAACATCCGCTGCGATGTATTTTGTTTTCCCGCAGAAAGATGGAGCGCACAGGGACCCCAGGAGCTTTGCTCCTCACCTTGGTCTACATGCTCGCCCAGGTGAGTGTGAGGCCCCAAGCACCCCATCGGCTGTGATGATAGCATTGCTACAGTATTTTTTTTTCATGGAAAATTTCTGTAAAGATATTAATCCATGGGTTTCCATTGTGCAGCCACAGAGGGAGTATGGGTGAATTTCATTAAAAGCTGTAGTATCACTTTATAGGTTGGCCTCCAAATCTAAATACAGTATTATCATGTGTTAGAAGTAAAGGCATTGGTGTATATGTAATTTTCCCATGTACATTGTCTGCATATGCTTATACATGCACAACATATACGTGCACGTAAAATTTATTTTGTTTTAATCCGATGGACAAAATATTATGACTAACTTATGAATACAAATTTTTATCTCATCAATAGGTAGACATTTTTATTTTAGTTTGAAATGTAAACATCTCTGCAATAACAAAATATCTAACATTTCTATAGTAATATAATCATGTATATGTGAAGAAATACTCTTGCAGTATGTACACTCTGGGTTTTTTGGTTGCACATGCCACTGGAATGAGTGTCTTACCTGGAGTTTCAAGTTTCAAGTTCATTTCAAGTTCATTTATTAGGTATAGCCCTGTGAGCCATTCGGCTCTTGAATCGGGTGCAACCGCAACAAACAAAAAACAAAAACATAAACAAGAAAACATCTTAAAGTGACTATGTGACTATGTGCAAACTGAAAATCCAGGAAAAAAAACAGCAAACATTCCAGTAGAAGGTAGAACTGCGTATTCATCCCCGTTCAAGACTTAGGATCTCATTGTTGAGACCTGACAGACCCTTTCGGGATACACCTTCATGAGGCAGGAGGCAGTAACTTACCCAAAGGTCTGGGAGCAAGGATTACATTCAAAGGATGGCAATACATTATCATGAGCAAGAGCATTTACTCTACAGTATTTGGAACAATCGGGTCTTGGGGTAACTTCGTAAAGAAAAGTAAAATCTCGGTGCTCAAAACATTCGTTTACACTGGCGCGGCTGATTCAGTTGCAGGAATAGCATATTCCAATAGTGGTTACCCATCTGTCCACCAAAGGACCACTGTTGACTTTCAATGAAGCAATACTCATTTGAACATCCTCTTTGGTTCTTTCGGTAAAGTCACGTCGATGAAAAATAAAATAAAGTAAATTAAATCACGACGTTTCGATTGCTGTGTTTATCACACCTGATGATGATTGCTTGTGTTGCAATCGAAACGTCGTAATTTAATTTACTTTTATTTATTTTTATTAGATTTTTCATCTACGTGACTTTACCGAAAGAACCAAAGAGTATGGATCCTTGCAGACACGAAAACTTCAAATCTAGAATCATTTGAACATCCTCGGATAGAGACTCGCAAACTTCCACTGGAAGGGCAAACGTTGTAACCGCAGTATCGCTCGCCTGGTAATATCAGCAATACCGTGATAGCCGTTTGGACCGAGGTCAACTTTCACGCAAATTCCTCTCAAATAAATTACTAAACAGGGAATCCCATGAGCCGCCATATGCTCAAAGATGGTCACCGTATCGCGCGCTTTCAGATGCGCTTCTGCAGCTGCCTGGAGCGCTCTTCCTTCTGATATTAGTAAGCGAATGGAGCTATGCACTTTTAAATATCATAGAGATTGAAAACTCATTTCTTTAGAACTGCTTTTTGCGTTGAGTTCGTTGTCCTTCCCCAGCACCTCCAATTAGCACGGTTGCCTACGTATGGTGTGAAAGAAGCTCAACCTACGTCCACATTTCACGCGAGTAACGGCCAATGAAGTACAACATAGGCGAGGATGTGACCAAGACGTTGGCTGCCCGGCCACACACTTTATTTGACGAGTCGATTTTGCCTCGGTTCAGCTGCCCAGGCACGTGGACGCAGAGGATATTCTGCGCGCGCAGTACGACTGCTACAACAAGATCATGAGCGACCCACCACACGCAGACGGTGAGATGGGATCAAACACATTCCTGCGGAAGGAGCTGGTAGGAACGTTGGGTTGCTGGGTCAATGGCCAGGGTCAACGGCGGCGTGGTGTATTCCGCAAATATGGCCGACTGCGAGGGCGGGCACAAGCTGGCGTGAGTAGGTTAAACGTTGAGTTTTATAAGGGCACCACGGGGTGACCAGCCCCTCCCCACCCAGCCCCTCCCCACCCTCCCCTCTCCACCCAGCCCCACCCCTCCCATTTTTGGATGCACGACGGACGGACACAATAATCCCCTGTGGGCTGGTGGAACCAGGTGGTTCCTACCAGTATAAATTCAAGTGAAAGTCAAAGTATCTTCTAGTTCAGATGAGCAGAAGGTGGTGCCGATTTATGTTGGTAGCCCTACGCCAAATGCCTGCCGAATGAGTCACTGTCAAGCCTAGGAGGGATATTGTATTATTTTTGATATTTTGGTGTGCTTAAATGTGTAGAGGTGATACGCGCTGGGATTAAGGATCGTATGCACAGTGTGTGATGATTGGCTGTGTAGGTGGTGACGCGCGCTGACGGTGGAGGATCAGGGGTCAGCGCGGGGTCGTGGGTTACGGGGTACCGATTGGCTGTGGGCGGTGACGCGCTGAGAGGGAGTGATTAGGTGGCAGCGCAGTGTGATTGGTGGGGTAATGTTAACACGCGCTGGGGAGAGCGGATCGTAGAGAGAGTGCGTCGTGATTGGGTCATTAAGGAACGACGCACACGTCGACGCCGCATCAGCTCCGTCCCTCGTGAGCAGGGGCTATAAAAGGGGATGCACACAGGCGTAAGGGGAGTGTGTAACCAGCGAAGAATGAAGACGGGGATGAAGACCTAGAGCCCTGCGGTACCTAGCCCCGCTGTCCTAAGGGGACCGGGACTCTGTGTAACCCAGAGGCGAGTGTAGTGGGTGTAGCCATAGGGCTTACACGAGTCGAGTGTATTGTGTAGCCAGAGGCATAGGGCTTACACGAGTCGAGTGTATTGTGTAGCCAGAGGCATAGGGCTTACACGAGTCGAGTGTATTGTGTAGCCAGAGGCATAGGGCTTACACGAGTCGAGTATATGGTGTGTAGCCAGAGGCCTAGAGCTTACACGAGATTAGTGGAGTGTGTCGGAGGAAGAAGGAAGACCACACGTTGTATTGTGATACCTAAAGGATTTAATAAAAGTGTGTTACCCGTCAAGAAGTTCCTGCCGTCAATTCCCATACTTCAACTGGCGTCAGAAGTGAAACGGTCCTCCAAGCATGGATACAAGGAGGAACCGTCGGACCCACGGGATTGACCACGAGGACAACCTCGACGACGCGGGCCAGCGGGCATCAGGGGGTGAGGAAGAGGAGCTGCCCACGGGGCAGGATCCACCGACGGCGCCGGACGAGAGACGGGGGACTGACACCGTGCTTCGCGAGGCACACTCCCGTCTGGCGGAGCTGCTGCTCGCCGCCGCGTCCATCTTGGCGGAGATCAGCTCGTCGGGGGGAGCGGGGACGGCGGCCGACGTGCTACAGGGTCGCCCTGCAGATTCCCGCCAAAACGATTTGGCGATTCCCGCCATTTCATCCGCTCCAACTTTTGGCGGGAACGGCCATCACCACGTGGCAGCGGTTCTCCATGCGCGGCCGCTGACGTCACCAACGCGCGCGGCGGACCGCCATCACACACCCGCCACTGGGGCCACCATCTTACACACCGACGGCGGGGCAGAGAGGAAGCACGAGGAGGAGGACGACTTTATCTTTCAGCAGCGCCTTCCCACGTTGTCAGCATTCAAGGCGGAAGGCGGGGATTGGAGCCTATTTCAGCGCAGATTTTTGGCGCATCAAGAGATGTCCGCCTGGTCCGACGCTACGGCACTGCGGGCACTGCCTGCCATGCTGGACGACAACGCGCTCGCGGCCTTCACGTCCGCACGCAGGTCGGACCGCTCCACGCTCAAGGATGCGCTGGCTCTCATGGCAAAAGTCTACGGTCCTCCCTCGGCGTGCCGCCATCATTTCTACGCAAGACGGAAGGCGGACACGGAGACCGTGCTCGCCTACCGCACGGCGTTGCTCGCTCTCGCTGACGCCGCGTTCCCTCGTATGGACGAGGAGGGCCAAGATGCGATGGTTTTGGAGCAGCTGCTCAAGTTGGCGCAGGACCTGGGGGTCCCCATCAACACGGCCGACGACACCGATATTTCTTCATTACGGGTCGCCACGAGCATGCAAGCGCACGAGGTCCTTCAACGAAAGCAGGGGGTCGTCTGCAACGCTGCTGTGGCCTCAACTCCGGGTCCGGTTGACACCGTGCCCCAAGTCGTCAGCCCACGAGAGGACGCGTTCATCGCGGGACGAGCGGGGGACTGGAGGTCGGGGGGTCGTTCGCCTCTGCGAGCGGCCCGCAAGCTGGAGCAACCGAGATCTCCGACTACTGTCATCACCTGCTATAACTGCGGCCTTCGTGGCCACGTGGCCTCCGGTTGCCGTGCCCCACGTCAGCGCGCCATGGGACCTCGGCTGGACGACGACCAAGGCCCCAAGTCATCACTGCAAACCCCGGCAAGTCGCGGCACCTCACATGCTTGGCCCGCATACTCGACACGTATGGGTCGTCGCGTTGCGACGAGGGAGAGCCGAGTAGAGTTCGGAGATTCGGTTCGGAGAGGGGGGTTCGGCCGGGACCGGGGAGACATTAAATGGTCGGAATTGGGGCACAGAATTGTGGCTGCCTCAGCGGGTTCATCCGTCGTTACCGGATCGATTGATGGGGTCGAGGTCAGGGTGTTAGTGGACACGGGGGCATCGGCGACTATTATTTCGGATCTCATTTATAATATTCTCCCGGTACAATGTCGTCCGCTTCTTCCGGTGGATGTGCCATTTTACGCCGCTAACGGGGGATCGTTGGGCATTATCGGTCAGATTAGGGCGTCCATTTGCATTGGTGATATCAAATTGTCGGGACCCGTTTTCGTTTCATCTTCCCTGGCGGTTCCTTGCCTATTGGGCACTGATTTTTTGGCGAAAATGCCCATCAAAATTCTCATTGATCAGCGTTGCATTGAACTACCATCGGGTCGCCGTATTTCATTTTTGACGAGCCCTAATGTAATTCGGACGGCGTGCGCTACCATTCAGGCGTTAGCAACACAGACCGTGCACGTGCCCCCGGGTTCACAAATGTTGATTCCCCTCCGGTTACGGAAGCCATGGGGGAAGGAGGCCTCGGAACAGGCCATGCTTTTGGGTCCTTCTAATAGGGCTGTTGGAGGTCTCGATTTATCGGTGGCTCACACTTTGGTTGGGGAAGACAGGGATCCGTTTGTCATGGTTTTAAACGCTGGGGCGCGGCCGGCCGTCATTCAGCAGGGCACCGTGCTGGCTCACGCGGCACGGGTCCCTGCGGAGGAGAGGCTGGTTGCGCAGGTTGATCCGAGCCCCACGAATAGCGTACCATCAAAGGAGGACCTAGATTGGATTGATATGCTGTGCGCGGACTCTGACGATTTGTCAGCGGTACAGTTGGGCGCGTTGCGCGGGTTGCTGATTGAATTTTCGGATGTCTTCAGTAAACATAAGTATGATATCGGATGCACGGACCTGCTACGCCACCACATTGAAACGGGCGATGCGGCACCGGTCAGGCAAAATCCCTTCCGACTGAGTCCTGCTGAGAAGGAACATGTTCAGTCGGCAGTTAACGATATGCTGGAAGCCGACATTATTTCGCCTTCTTCCAGTCCTTGGGGAGCACCTATTGTGCTCGTTAAAAAGCAGGACGGGTCCCTGCGATTTTGCGTCGATTTCCGCCGCCTGAATAAGATCTCGGTGGCCGACGCGTATCCGCTCCCCAGGATGGACGAGTCTCTCGACGCATTGTCCGGTGCGCGATACTTTTCGACTCTTGATTTATTGTCCGGATTTTGGCAGTTGCCACTCGACGAGGAGTCTAAGCCTAAGACTGCATTCCGGACTCCAGGGGGCCTGTTTCAGTTTAACCGGTTACCCATGGGACTTCACTCCTCTCCTGCGACGTTTCAGCGTCTTATGGAATTGGTTTTGTCGGGCTTGCAGTGGGAAACGTGCCTCATTTACCTTGACGATGTCATTGTTTTCGGTAAAACGTTCGAAGAACACCTCCAGCGATTGAGAGGGGTGTTCTCGCGAATGCGATCGGCTAAATTAAAGTTTAAACCGGCCAAATGCCATCTTTTTCGTAAATCCGTGAGGTACTTGGGTCACATTGTCGACTCTTCGGGGATTTCTACCGATCCTGCGAAGACGGACTGTGTCAGTTCGTGGCCGACGCCCACGTCAGTGTCAGACGTGCGCAGTTTCATCGGTTTTGCTTCGTATTATCGCCGATTCGTTGAGCACTTCGCCACCATTGCAAAGCCCTTGCACGCTTTAACGGCAAAAGGAGTGAAGTTCCGGTGGGGACCGGAGGAGGAGGCTGCATTCTGCTCCCTCCGGGACGCCTTGGTAAGGGCCCCACCCTTGCGCTATCCGGACTTTGAGAGTCCCTTCTTGCTAGACACGGATGCTAGCAACACGGGCATTGGGGGGGTGCTGTCCCAAGTCATTGGAGGGGTCGAACGGGTGGTCGCCTATGGTAGCAGGGTGTTGTCGCCGGCAGAGCAGCGCTACTGCGTCACCCGTCGTGAACTACTTGCCATTGTTTTTTTTGTACAACAATTCAGGCCATATCTCTATGGTCGTCATTTCACGGTCCGGACGGACCATGCGGCGCTCCAGTATTCATTACGGGTTGCCCAGCCCTCGGGCCAATTGTCGCGGTGGTTGGAAGTCCTCCAGGACTATCAGTTCACGACTACGTACCGTAAAGGGTTGCGACACACGAATGCCGATGCCCTGTCGCGGTTGTTGCCTTGTCACAAATGTGCGTGCTTATCGGGATCGGCGCGCTGTAAACCTCCGGTTACGGAAGGTAGGGAGGCGTTGGTTGCGACCGCGAGCACACCAATTGGGGATGGTCCCGCTACCCCAGGGGGTCAGGACTCGCTGCTCTCACTGTCGTTGATTGAGTGGGGCCGTCTCCAAATGGCGGACAGCTCCCTGCTGGCATTGCGCCGAAAGACGGAGGGTTCCGAAGGTAGCCACGACCGAACTGGCTCCTACGAGCTTAAGCAGGGACTGTTGATGAGATGGGACAGTTTGTCCCGGCGGCATTCGATTGTGGTGCCTTCTGCTGTGAGGGGGAAGGTTGTCTTGGCCGCACACGAACGCCTCTTGCATTTGGGAGTTAACAAAACGCTTGCCCTGCTTCAGCGTGACTATTATTGGCCGGGAATGGGGGGTGACGTGGTGAATATTCTGAAGGGTTGTGTTGAGTGCGCCAGACGGAAACCACCGCCCGTGGCAGCTAATCCACCGCTGCAATCTATTCAGGTCTCGCGCATTAACGAGCTCGTTGCACTCGATATTCTGGGGCCCTTTCCGGTCACGCCTAGGGGTAATAAGTACCTGTTGGTGGGGGTCGAATATTTTACCCGGTGGCCTATGGCGTGGCCACTCGCCAACCAGTCGGCGGCGGCTGTGACGGACGCCTTTGTCCAGGGCTACGTCCTGGACAAGGGGGCTCCCGAACGCTTGCTGACTGACCAAGGGAAAAATTTTTCGAGTAAATTACTGCAGGAGGTGTGCGACCTGTTGGGTACCAAAAAGGTGCGTACCTCCCCGTACCACCCGCAGACAGACGGGATGGTGGAGAGGCTTAACAGGACATTGACCTCTATGCTGTGCCAGCAGGTGTGTGAGTCGCATGTTGATTGGGACCTGCAGGTCCCTGGGGTCCTTGCCGCGTATAGAATGGCCCCCCACGCAGCTACGGGGTTTTCCCCGTTTTTTCTAATGTACGGCCGGGAAGCCGACCCGCCCATGGAAACGCAGCTGGGTCTGCCCGCACCACGAACTAATTCTAAATTGGCAGAGCATATTAAATTTAATATTCATAAACTGACAGAGGCAAGGGAGGCCGCACGGCTTAATTCGCGGGCTCGCCAAATTGCGAACGAGCGGTTGCGGGCACGGAAGGTATCCGTGCACAATTGGGAACCAGGTGACAAGGCCTGGCTGCATTGCCCTCAGGCACCTTTGGCCACGTCGCCTAAATTGTTGAAGCCGTGGCGAGGACCCGTGGAGGTCGTGCGGGTTGCGCGCCCCCAGTGCGTTCAGATAAAATGGGGGAAACGCCGTTGGTACGTCCACCCCTCCCGACTGAAACCGTTCTCGCCTCTGTATGGCCTCCCCTTGTGTCGTGAGGGCCGAGCATGTGACGTGACCGACGACCCTGAGGGGGAATTGTCCTTGCCTGCTCCTCACATGTCTCCGCCTGACCCGCTCCCAGGTGTCTCGGAACTGACTGCTGCCGACCACCGGCGGCCGGATCTCCACGGCGGGGCCGGTCCTTCCAGGCCCGATCCGTGCCGTCTAGAGCTGCCGGAGACACCGGACGGTCGCCAACGTCCCGTTCCGTACGACGGACCGGCCAGACGGACTCGCGCTAGGTCGCGCTACTTTGTGTAATCTACCCCGTGCGGAGTCGAGGCAGCCGGAGCGCCTCGGCACTGCGTGGGTCACGGTGACACTTGGCGCGTTCGTTTTATGGTGTTCGCTTTTATTGTGTTGTTCGTCGGGCTGTATATTGCTTCGTATTTAAGGTTGTGTTATGTTGTTGTTGTTGTTGTGTTACGGGGCACACTGGGATGTGGAGTTCTTTATTACTGCGTTGCGTTATGTTGTGTTGTAGGTTAACAGCCGGGCCGGCTGCAAGCTATGTGGGAGGGGGTGATGTAGAGGTGATACGCGCTGGGATTAAGGATCGTATGCACAGTGTGTGATGATTGGCTGTGTAGGTGGTGACGCGCGCTGACGGTGGAGGATCAGGGGTCAGCGCGGGGTCGTGGGTTACGGGGTACCGATTGGCTGTGGGCGGTGACGCGCTGAGAGGGAGTGATTAGGTGGCAGCGCAGTGTGATTGGTGGGGTAATGTTAACACGCGCTGGGGAGAGCGGATCGTAGAGAGAGTGCGTCGTGATTGGGTCATTAAGGAACGACGCACACGTCGACGCCGCATCAGCTCCGTCCCTCGTGAGCAGGGGCTATAAAAGGGGATGCACACAGGCGTAAGGGGAGTGTGTAACCAGCGAAGAATGAAGACGGGGATGAAGACCTAGAGCCCTGCGGTACCTAGCCCCGCTGTCCTAAGGGGACCGGGACTCTGTGTAACCCAGAGGCGAGTGTAGTGGGTGTAGCCATAGGGCTTACACGAGTCGAGTGTATTGTGTAGCCAGAGGCATAGGGCTTACACGAGTCGAGTGTATTGTGTAGCCAGAGGCATAGGGCTTACACGAGTCGAGTGTATTGTGTAGCCAGAGGCATAGGGCTTACACGAGTCGAGTATATGGTGTGTAGCCAGAGGCCTAGAGCTTACACGAGATTAGTGGAGTGTGTCGGAGGAAGAAGGAAGACCACACGTTGTATTGTGATACCTAAAGGATTTAATAAAAGTGTGTTACCCGTCAAGAAGTTCCTGCCGTCAATTCCCATACTTCAAATGTATCCAGGGATTTGTATTAGTTGGGGTGGTTATGTGTTGTTATTATTATTTTCAATTCATTTCAAAGAGTGGCTGCTACAACGGTTGATTCAAGTGTGGAGACAGTGGTTTGTTGTCGTGAAGCATCGACTGCCACATAACTCGCGTACATAATTGTGTGTGCGTGTGTACATATGCATGTGTGTATGCATTGTGTGTTTGTATAAATATTCGTGTGCATGAGTTTTAAATGGGCCGATTTGATGTTTTGGAGAGCCAATATCAACAGGCAGTGTCTTTCCATATTGTCATTTAAAAAATACAAATGTTCCTTTTCGCCCAATTTTTGGCAAAACATGCGTCGACCTTTCCTTTACCAAGTCGGAAGAATCGTCATGGTCATGCGTTTCGACTGATTCATCCCATGCAAATATAGCCCAGTGTCTCGTCAACATCATTCAAAACTTAATTATATAAACTGTACATATAAGGTCCCCTTAGTTGTTACCTGGTTAATTTTGTAAGACTGTTGTTATTGTGACTATGGGGTACTAGTGAGGATATAAACGAACACATTCATTCATTTTCATTTGAATGTTATTGTGTTAATACTTTTTGTTTTTTACGGTAAAGTCATGTAGGTGAAAACAAAATAAAATAAAACTAAATTTAATCACGACGTTTCGGAAGCAACACAAGCATCCGTCATCAGGTGTTGCTTCCGAAACGTCGTGATTAATTTAGTTGCTTTATTTTAATTTTATTTTGTTTACACCTACGTGACTTTACCAAAAAAAACAAAGAGTATGGATCCTTGCAGTCACTAAAACTTCAAATCTAGAATGTTGTTGTGTTCTGTACACCTTTAAAAGAACTCGATGTGCCCCAAAGCTGAAACAAGCATTGGATGGTGATCATGAGGTAGTGGTGGAGCTTTCACGTTCCTATGCCAGGGACTCGTCCATCCATCAAGTGGTCCTCACGTGTGATGCTCCCTCTCACCAGGAGCCTTCTGCCCACGTACGTGGGACGGGTGGATGTGCTGGGACGACACTCCCGAGGGGACGATGGCCTCACAATTCTGCCCTCCATACTTCAAGGACTTTGACACCTTTGGTGAGAAGGAAACCTTCAACGTCGTGGCGGTGTTGTGAAGTGGTGATGCACGTGCTGCAGAACCATTTCAAGGTTCAGTGCGTCTTACGTTCTGCACGTTGTGTTGCTTCGCTGTACTCAAACGTGCATTATCCCGCTCCAGAGAAAGTTACGAAGATCTGCAACGCCAGCGGAGCATGGTTTCGCCACCCAGAGAGCCAGAGGACATGGTCCAACTACACTCTGTGCAATGCCTTCACCGAGAAGAGAGCACAGGCAAGGTCGCCGGGTCTGTAGCGGAGTGTGCCAACCACTACGCTACTGCTCTACACACACACTCACTCGAATACAAATATCCCACATTTAGGCTATAGCAGCAGGCTGTGTGAAGTTCTGTTAGCGAGCACCTATTTTAGTATTTCAGAAACTTGACCGTTTACTTGCATACACAATAACTGCCGTTCTCCACGAAGTGGCGGTGATGTCACTATGGTGCTTGTGCCAGGCTAGGTGCACTTTGAAGCCACGTGTTGAAGGCTCGTTGACAGGATGTCACAGGACAGACCAAGTTGTTTTGGGTTAACTGCTATTCACGCTCAAATGTAATGTGCAGCCACACACCATCATATATTACACACAAAGGACACACGCACACACACCCACTCACGTAGACCAGGGAGCATGCACTCACTTCATCACATGCACACCCACACAAGACAAATAACCCAGATTTATCCTCATTGATAACAGGAACACAATCACCAACCTCTCAAAAGGCACCAAATCAAATATTAGTGTATTTATGCTGCATATCTTGAGAATAGTCAAAAGGTCAGATTTGAATACCTTTGTCCACAGATACAAATGCTCTGCGCACAGTGATGTGCAGTTTGTCCCATCCCTGAAAAGTCTTCACTTTCGATGCCAGGTGCTGCCAATACAGGGATGCTGAAAGTTTACCATACTTAAAATAAATGAAACCTGTTCACTTCTCTGGTGGCAGGCATGCTCCGGTGGGGGAGGGTTAGCACACTGGTCTTGTAAACCAGAGGCGACTGGTTCTATCTCCTGGCGTCACAGTTAAAACACAGGGTGCAAGTTTATTACTGGTAGGAACCTCCTGGTTCCACCAGCCCACAGGGGATTATTCTGTCCATCCATCGTGCATCCAAAAATGGCAGGGGTGGGGCTGGGTGGAGAGGGGTTGGTCACCCCGTGGTGCCCTTATAAAACTCAACATTTAACCTACTCACGCCGGCTTGTGCCAGCCCTCAGTTGGGCATATTTGCGGAATACACCACGCCGCCGTTGACCCTGCCCATTGACCGAGCAACCCAACGTTCCTACCAGCTCCCTCCGCAGGAATGTGTTACATTATCCTGCCCTTGACGTCCACCCAGCAGTATAAATGGACACACGAGTTAGTCAATCAGCAGGTCACGTGCGGTGGGACAAAGTGTGGGTTTCTCCCACCTCTTCCAAGACATCTGGCCACTGTGGATGAGTTGGTTAAATACCCTCTGGAGGGGGCTTTCTAGAACTCCATGTAAGATGTATGCCGGATTAACTTATTTATCACCGTATGCAGCCAACTGCGCTAATCAGAGGTTCGGGGGGGGGGGGACAATCTAAACACATAAAGCGGTTCTAAAGAAATGAGTTTTCAATCTAGATTTAAAAGTGTGTGGCTCCCGTGGCTTGGAGACACTTCCGCCAGCAGTGGGATGAGAAAGGCATTGCAGGGCTGCACCTTCACCATATTTCACCTCACTTGCAGGAGGGGGTTACTTTGCAGAAAACCTCAGAGCGCTCTGGGTGCCTGTTCTCACGCTGTACTGTGTGGTGTCTGTGTGTGTGTGTGTGCGCGTGTACGTTCCCGTGTGTGAACACCATGAAGACCACGCTGAACATGTATTACCTGGCAGTCATCGGCCACGGCCTATCCATCGTCTCGCTGCTCTTCTCTCTCCTCATCTTCTTCTACTTCAAGTGAGAGCACTGCCCCCCCCCCCGCCCCCGTGCCCACGAGTTCAGCGAAGGAGATCCCCGCTTAGCCTCGCAGGGTGCGACGTGGGCACGCGATGGTTGTCGAGTGTCACTGCTCAAGCTGCCGTGGGGGGTCTTGCTCATCCTTGTTGGCGGGCCTGAGCTAAATCACTTGAATTCCACATTCCTGTGCTGGGAGTAAGGCATGTAATCCATTTCTACCTGCAGCGAGTCGACTAATTCGTCACGGCTCTGCGGTACGATTCAATTCAAGAATTCATTGCTTTTTGTGTCTTTGTGCAGTCGGGTTCATGTTCATGCTCGTTTGTCCTGTAACGTTTGCACAGTTTTGCTCACTTTATTAGCCCAAAATGTATGGAGGATGATGTTATTTCATACCGTACGTAGCCAACTGTACTCATCGGAGGTGCACATGTAACATAACTATGTAATTTGCATTAATAACACATTTTCACACAAACCGTTCAACGCACGTATTGCGAGCATGCTCCGTGATTATTGGAACCCCCGTCTATTTTCAATAGCGGTGCGCATTTTAAAAGCCTTGGGGGAACGGTGGTCTGCGTTGACCCCTGGCTGACATTTAAACGTTCCTAGCGGTTTTGACACAGCATGTTCAAGCCAGATATGGCGTGTCTGGCAGCCCCTCTTCTCCACAACTTGCACGCACATACAATTTGGACACGTTTATATATATATATTTTTTAAAACCCACGTACATATACCCATGAAAACCACGCATTCGTACGGAGGCTCTTCAAGCAATGCAAGTAAAGGCTTGCGTTGGAGGACATTTCTCCCCATGGTTGGCTGCCCCCCCGTGTCGTGCAGGAGCCTCAGCTGTCAGAGGATCACGCTGCACAAGAACCTCTTCAGCTCCTACCTGCTGAATTCCGTGGTCACCATCATCCTGCTGTCGATGGTGGTGACCAGCAAGTCGTTCATATCCTCCAACCCCGTAAGTGAAGCCCGCCCCATCGTATATCTGGATTTGAGTTCAGGGCGTCCGTATCGCCCAGATGGTTTGCTTCAGGCGACAGGACAAAAACGCGTAATAGGCAGACCCGCGAGGTTACCGCAATCCACTCAATCGCACCCCAAAGACTTGTTGTAACCATGAACAGCATCAGAACACGAACAGGCCGCTGCGCAAATCTACTTCATGAATAGAACATCCAAGATAAAAGCCACAGTGGTGCTACTACTGTGGTCATGCCATCCTAACTGTGGACCACATATAGTAAACCGCTGTGGTCTGCGCTCCTTGAACAGAGGAATGGCAACACTACACGCACTCTCTTCTGAAGCCCCTCTCGTACTCGGCAGACCTCGATATTGGCATTTCACTGCTGGGCAAATTGCCATCCACAAGGACAGAAGAATAGCCAAACCCTCTTTCTCCTCCACTGTATTTTCACTCAAGTTCAACTCCTTGGCTTCTGTTTGTGTTGCTTCCTCAAGTCTGTGGCAACACTCAGAAGTGCAAGAAGCAGGCGGGGGTGGGGGCGGTGAATAAACTACATGATCTCACATTCGATATTTCACGGATTGTTTCCTTATGCATGTTCGTGTTAATAACTTATCCACGGTGTTAGCTATGATAAAGAAATGTAGCAATGTACCCCAATGCGAAATGAGCACGGTTCAGTGCTCATTTCTGTTACGGGTCCTGAGCCGGTGGTGGAAAATCCATTTTACAAGGATGGGGACCAATGCTTGCACATGAAAACCCACAGTTGACTTCCCTCAACGTGGAATGATTATATTAGTTTAGTTCCATATTTAACGAGCATTTCCAAATGGAAAGCTGCTGAGGAAAAGTTCTGCAAAGTCATTGCATTTATCGCGAGCGTGTCCTACAACTTGTGGAACCTCAGTCTACCCTGAACAAATCACCAAATAACTTCCCGCAAAAGCGGTGCACATTTTATCCGCCCTGGAGCAATGCTGGGCTGCGTTGACCATCGACTGGGATTCCACGTGGAAATTCTCAGGACTGAAGTCCCAACAATCGATACCGAGCTGTGTGGACCAGTCCGCCTCGATTTAAAGTAAATATTACAAAATCCAAGTCTCCTCTGTTTACCACCGCACCCGACATGCCTTCGCCTCACTTAAGTGTGCACTGCTCCACCCATCCCTTCCTTCCTTCCTTTCCCTGCACTCCATCTCGACCAACATCTCACCAACCAAATAAACCTCCATTACTCTCCCTCTGTAAACATTTATTTAATACATTCTCTTTTTTTTTTACATCCTCACAATTACCCGGCACGCGTTGAATACGAACGCCTGTAATTATCAGAGGCAGAGTTGAATCCTGCAAAGAGAGAGTCACCTCGTGTGCGACACTCGCCTGGGAAGGGACGCAAGGTACCCACGTTTCTGCGTGGAGTTGTGAGCATCTTTCCCCAACTGCGGATGGGTTTTCCTGAACCTACTTTCATTTCCTACGGACACAAAAGTGAGAAATTGGTTAAAACATCCCAAAAAGTAGTACACCATCCTTGAAATACGTTGTCACCGAGGCCTTCCTTTGACAAATGAAGCGCTGCACCGCACGTCACATGACCATTCTCGCAGTGACCCCTCCATCGAGTTCCCCAATGCCCTCCGTGCCATCCGAGCGCCGCCGAGCGTTGCAGCGAGTCGCCGCATGCCAACCGTGCCTCTCTCCGTCACCCCCCCCCCCCATCCCACTACAGGTGGGCTGCAGAGTGGTGCAGTTCCTGCACCAGTACCTCATGGGGTGCAACTACTTCTGGATGCTGTGCGAGGGCATCCACCTGCACACGCTCGTCGTCGTCGCCGTCTTTGCAGAGGAGCAGGAGCTCGTGTGGTACTACCTGCTCGGCTGGGGTGAGCATGGCCAGGCGAGCGCGAGACCGGTGCTTGTGCTCAAGGCATGCGTCCGCGTGTGTTGTCGCGTCCGCGTGTGTGCAAAACACAACTAAAATCTGCGAGGCCGCGTGTTGTTTTATAAACTATTTCAAACTACTATTAAACTACAATAGTGTTTATTTTACCAGGTGAAAACCCACAGAGCTGTATAGATATTTTGCAGAAGCGACCTGGTCACAAATGATAGCTCAACTAAGTGGCTTATACTGGTAGGAACCTCCTGGTTACATCAGCCCACATGGGATTATTGTGTCCGTCCGTCGTGCAGGGAGGGGCTGGGTGGGAGGGGTGGGGAGGGACTAGTCACCCCGTGGTGCCCTTATAAAACTCAACGTTTAAACCTACTCACGCCGGCTTGTGCCCGCCCTCACAGTCGGCCATATTTGCGGAATACACCACGCCACCGTTGACCCTGCAGGCCATTGACCGAGCAACCCAACGTTCCTACCAGCTCCCTCCACAGGAATGTGTATGTTTATGTAATTACAGAGTCCCTGACCTTTGAAAACACGCTTGTGCAAACCATGAGATAATATCAGACGTGTTTGACTGATGTGTGACTACAGTAAGAAGATCTGTGTGGAAGTACCGGTCAGTGTGGTGTCAAATGCTTAACAATGCAAAACAATGAATAGCAGAGGTGTGGACTCGAGTCATGTGACTTGGACTCGAGTCAGACTCGAGTCATGAATTTGATGACTTCAGACTCGACTTGGACTTGCATAACAATGACTTTGTCCCACCTCTGAGGTGTGGACTCGAGTCATGTGACTTGGACTCGAGTCAGACTCGAGTCATGAATTTGATGACTTCAGACTCGACTTGGACTTGCATAACAATGACTTTGTCCCACCTCTGAGGTGTGGACTCGAGTCATGTGACTTGGACTCGAGTCAGACTCGAGTCATGAATTTGATGACTTCAGACTCGACTTGGACTTGCATAACAATGACTTTGTCCCACCTCTGAGGTGTGGACTCGAGTCATGTGACTTGGACTCGAGTCAGACTCGAGTCATGAATTTGATGACTTCAGACTCGACTTGGACTTGCATAACAATGACTTTGTCCCACCTCTGAGGTGTGGACTCGAGTCATGTGACTTGGACTCGAGTCAGACTCGAGTCATGAATTTGATGACTTCAGACTCGACTTGGACTTGCATAACAATGACTTTGTCCCACCTCTGAGGTGTGGACTCGAGTCATGTGACTTGGACTCGAGTCAGACTCGAGTCATGAATTTGATGACTTCAGACTCGACTTGGACTTGCATAACAATGACTTTGTCCCACCTCTGATGAATAGTGCTTGAAAAGAGCGCGCACAGTTTACAAACCGTTATCAAACTCTCCACAGGTTTCCCGTTCATCCCAGCCATCCTGCATACCATCAGCAGGTCCCTCTACTACGACGACGAGTGAGTGCGATGTGCCACATTTGATCACCACACACACAAAACACACAAAACAAAAATTCAAAGCCATCACGGAACCATGAATGGAATCGCAATCAGCAGGCGAAAAGCGTGCTGGGTTTGCTGGCTATAGCCATTCAACAGGTCACGGCAGCATTGTTAATCTTGATTTGAAGCGTTCCTGACTGCAGGAATCCATACTCTTTGGTAGGTAGCATTGTTAATGTTTTCACCGAATAATGCATTCACCAAATTAAATCCCATTCTATTATTCCAAGTGACATTTTATCAGCTCGAGATACCGTTCTGGTGTCATGGTTCACACACTGGATTTACAAAGAGTCGTCGCCGGTTCCAATCGATCTCCTGGCACCAAGAATTGAGACAATGGGCCACGTTTCTTAAACTCCCACCACCTCTGCCCACCCAGCATTACAAATGGCTACACCTAGTGAGTCAGTCAGCAGGTCACGCATGGTGGGGTAAAGTCCTCCCACCTCTTCTAAGATGGAAAAATAGGCCAAATACTCGCCCTCTCGATGGGGCAGTGGAGTGAAGGGCTGCACACCGACCGATTTTATCAGCTGCTCCGTGCTGCACGTCACAGGAAGGCCACGCTTGAAGGGGAGGACTCTGTGGCCCCGGGCTTTGGGGCACAGTGTCCACGTCGCAGCTACAGACAGCATTCGGCAGGGAGAGCAGGAAGCCCGTGTGTCGGTCCTGCCTGTGACCGTTACATTAATAACCGCTGCTATTGGAAGAAAAAAGAAATGTTAAACGCGTGCATCCGTGACCCCGTCAATCAGGCACCTCTGAAACAACAACCGAGCGCAAAGTCCTGAGCCAGCACAGATACCCAGCCCTTCCTGTTTGGCAGCCTGGGCGTAGCCCGTTTCCACCGAGCGTGGCGAGCGTGTTGTGAAAGTGACTGTGAATCCTGCGATGGGTGCTCCGACCATGTACTGGTCGCGACGATACCGCTTCTATTACTACAGTTAGTGGAGACTTTGGATGTATCGATCATCTGAAAACAGTTGCGTCTCAAGATGCTCAACAAGGAAACAGTGGGAATGGGCTTGGTAGGGGTGGGAGGGGGAAGAAGATCAGGAAGGGGGGGGGATGTGATACATTATCGGTTTCAAACACAAATAAGGATGTTGAGATTAATACGCCTACACATAGTATACACATGCAATGTACGTGCCTACACACGCGTGCGCTTATTCTGCAAACGTTACTCATGTTCTTGTAAACGTACAGAAATAGCAATTTTTTACATGGAATTTGGCCATACCACCAGTCAAAAAACTCTTAAAATTGTCATCTTGAAGTGTCATTTCCAAAGGGCCAAAATGCACATATTTAAATATTGCTGAATGAGTCGTTTTTTTCAGTCAAATATTTTTTTACAGGTTTTCATCCAGAATACAGTTTATCAAAAGGGTTGCAGTTTATTTTCCCTTTGAAGTTAATATTAAGCCATAGACATCCGATTCGTAATTCCTCGTGATATTTCATGTTCGTGACGCGATTCACACGTTTGCGAAAATGGCTTTTCCATTTTGTGGAGGGGAAAAAAACCCATGTGGCAGAAAACTGGAAACATATGTCAACTCTCCGACAAAGTGAGGAAGCATTGTTTTTTTTGTAAGCAACAAGCATGTTTAGGACATCTGCCTCTTTCCCGACCACCCTACGTGTTCATAGAAAAAAGGGTTCAACCTTTCCAATAGAGTCCCAACAATAAGCTCCGTAAATAAGGACACACACGACCTCCGATGCCGGGCATGTTTATTGTTAGAATGTCTCGTACACCGAAAATGTAAAAAAATTAAAGTCTGTGCCTATCGACAACACTCAAAGCAACATTGTAATTAATTATCTGCCCAAATGGGTTTTTAAAAACCTCAATCGTTCGACAGCTAAACACACGTTAAATTGTCACTTGCAAAATGTAAAATAAATTTCAGGAAGTCTCCCCGAATTCCTGGATTTCATATTTTGACATCATGGATCTTGTCCCAATAATGTCTGACGTACTTCCAAACGAAATAGCACATCTCATTGCTAAATTTGGTTTTGACAATTGTTATTGAATTTACCAGCGAGCCGAATCGATTATAAAAATTGCACGTGAAATGCTTAAGGCGACAAATGTATTTGTTTGTTTGTGGCGGAGGAGGCGTATAACGACACAAATTCGGCCAAATGATTGTGGCCTAAACCAAAAGTAAACTTTGAATCAAAACAGACTCGGCAGATCTAGTTTCAAATATATTTCAAGGACAGTGGAGGAATGACAATTTGTATACTCTTTGGTTCTTTCAGTAAAGTCACGTAGGTAAAAAAAATAATAAAAGTAAATTGCAACACAAGCAATCGAAACGTCGTGATTTAATTTACTTTGATAATTTTTTATTTCTATTTTTTTACTTTTATTTTCTACCTACGTGACTTTACCGAAAGAACCAAAGAGTATGGATCCTTGCAGTCACGAAAACTTCAAATCTAAAATGACAAATTGGTTTGAAGAAGTGTTCGTGTTCACTACAACAATACACCGCAATTTTACACACAGCTGCTTACATTTGTGTTGGCATGATGGTAAAAGCAAGCCAAGGATTGAGCAGAAATGCCTGCAACTGGCTACACGATAGTATCCGCACATTACGACTGGAAGGGGGAACAACAACAAAAAAAGTTCTAGATTTGAAGCTTTCGTGACTGCAAGGATTCATACTCTTAGTTCTTTCGGTAAAGTCACGTAGGTAAAAAATGAAATTAAAATTAATTTTAAAAAAATCTTGATGCAGCAAATCTGGCTGTGACGGTCCCACCTGATGACGGAGACTTGTGTTGCCTCCGAAACGTCGTGATTTTTATTTTATTTTTATTAAATTTTATTTCATTTTTTACCTACGTGACTTTACCGAAAGAACTAAGAGTATGTAACAAAAAAGTACTAAAGTTTGCGCATGCCGTGCGATGTCGCTTGTGCCACCCCAATATCGTTGTTATTGCGGTGCTGTGCGTGCGCTTGTGCTGTAGCAAATGCCATATCTGTGTGCATGCTGTGTGTGTGTACAGCTGTTGGATCAGCTCTGAAACCAGTCTGCTGTACATTCTGCACGGGACCTTCGTAACAGCACTGGTGGTGAGGAACGCTCACATATGCAAAGATCCCTTGTATCGCCTTAGCAGATTGTAGGAGCAAGTGCTGTTAGCGAGCACCTATGAAGGCCGGCACGCCACACCAGGTGGATGGCCAGCACCAGTTATTAATTTGAGGCCGAGTCGACCTAGGGGAGGCCCAAGATTGGTTCAGATAATCGTCACTGGTGTTAGCCGTGAGCAGCAATGGAACTGCTATTGCCAGGTTGGTAGCACGGCACGTTATCCGCTACACTACCGCTCGCCACATATATGAAAACACACACACACACACACTTGCATGCCCTCATAGAGGCAAAGGTGCCCTGTGTACACATTCAAACCGTTTGGAAGACCAACATCACCCACAGTGATCTCTGCATTGTCGAGGTTTACATGGCGCTCCTTTATGGCTCAATACATCTAGGGGAAATCCAGGACACGTTCTGACACCACTGGCCACCGATATTTGTCATCAAACACAACCTACCAGGTTGAAGCGCAATACGCCAACCACCGTGCCACCACTCGCCACAACACATGCACGTTCAGTTGGACACACATACAATTAAACATTTCTACAAAGGGATCCTACGCTTACCTTGAACAAGGTATACGCCCAGTTCATGTACTATGTTCCTTATGAGACCTTGTGGTTTTGATTTCCTAATTAATGATATTTGTCGCAGACAATGTCAGAGTCACACGGTCACGATGCCAGCTACTGGGCCTTTTTGTCCCGTACTGCCCTTGTATGCCGCACCCTTCGGATTTGGTGTGTGTGTATATATATGCTGCATAAATCATCAGGGCCCAGATTATTCAGCCAACCGTGTCTGATTGCCTCTCTCACCACACAATGGGCATGGTCGTAAATGGACTAGCGAGCAAGTACAGCCATTGGGGACGTCTTAATCATTCCCAACACAATGGGTCACATCCCGATTGGGATGGTGTTCCACGTTCAGCTAATGGGTGCGTGAGCCACTTTGCTCCCTCCATTGACTGATTTCACGTGTGTGTCACCATAACCCAAACCCTCCCTCCAGGTTTTGCCACCCGTTTCCAATGTGCCCCAGCAAAAGTTACATTCATCCCGTGAAGAGTAAAGGTCAAATAAACCCAAGTCCCCCTGGCTACTTCTGACCCCCACCTACCCCCCCCCCCGCTCTATATTATCTAGTATCACACTGGGCATCATTTAACCACTCCATCTGCCTGTACCCAACGAACCGCATCACTTTAGAGAATTTGGTAGAGATACACACAATCAAGATGGGGATAGCTGAAACACAGCCTAGTCTGAGATTTGAACCCCAAACCGGAGGGCATCCATTATTTTGCCTCAGGCCAAACCCACTTTCCCATGCATTGCACTATGTTTGAGGTTTTGGTAATTTCTCAGAGAAATTGCAAGGTAGATGTGTGCAAATGAAATTTGCTGCCTCAAGCTCAACAGACTGCTGACCTATCTATGTGGAGTTGGATTGTTCTCCCTTCATTCGTGTGGTTTTTCTCCAGGTTACCTCCCATTCACGAATACATTCAAAGAACAAAACATCCCCTAGCAATGCAGAGGCTCAGTGAGGCCCTCCAGGGTAAACAAAGAAAGTTCTAGTACTGCTCTTTAGGTTTTTAGCGGTTGTGCTGTGTGGCTCCACGTCCTCAAGAAGCTTCCAGCACACAGAGCGCAACGTGGAACGTACCCCGAACAACGCACAGCACAACCCAAAAACACGTCAGAGAGCTACGAAGAAGTGTATGAAGAGTGTAAAGTCATTTCTGCTTGCCGCAACGTAAGCAGCTGCTGGCCTTACAAAAAAGTTGTTATCTATGATGAATTCCATCACCACGCATCACTTAACGCCATTCCGAGAGCTGCGTGTTCCCCGTGGCTCCAGGCTATTCTGACAGGCAAGGCTGACTTTGCCACTGTGGTGGCAATTTTTTTTTCCGCTGAGAAATGAACAACTCCCTCAGAGGAAATGCACCGTTGAGTGAAATTACTGCGTAAACATGAACTCAGGGCTTGGGATCGAAGTGGGTGGGTTTAGTCGTCTTTAGGGAGGCACTTGGGCTCTGGAGGCTGAGCAAGGGAGGTCAAGGGTTGAGACTGGAGATTGAATGGTTTTTTTTTACATGCTTTTTATTAACTCACACTGTTGTTGTTGTATTCTCAAATCTTCTAACTCAATTTTTACCCACTTCCCAATGTGGTATCGACTGCAAACTTGGTATACTTATGTCATACTGATGACAATACTATATTCTATCATAAAAAAATAAAAAAAATATTTGAAAACATTATTTTATATGTTACTAGCAGGAAGTACCCGGCGTTGCCCGGGTCTTAAAAATATTTCAAAGCTACTCTTAAAAATGTAACAGCAGTGCGTACTGTGGTGGTACCTGCTATGATGACAGTAGTGTATACTGTGGTGGTACCTGCTTTCACTGCAGTAGTGCATACTGTGGTGGTACCTTCTATGATTACAGCAGTGCATACTGACTGTGGTGGTAGCTGCTATGATTACAGCAGTGCATACCGACTGTGCTGGTATCTCTTATCACGACAGTAGTACATGCTGATTATATATCAGTATTTATCGACTCTATAGCACAAAGTACTCACCTGACAGAGTGGCGTGGTGAGGCCTAGTCCCGTGCAGAGCCTCCGGCCTCGCCTAGATTGTCCAGTCGGCCGAGGTGGCACCTTGGCAGGCTGGGGCTGGGCTGCTACCTCTGCCCCCCCAGCCACGATCTCACCCGCCGCTCTACAGTAATATCTACGGCCTATAGTGGTAGCATTAAGCGACTGTATAGTAGTAATAACTGCACGTTTCGGGGTGGGGGGGACATCACACAGTGAAGAATTTACCTGAGCGTTTAGTGTATTTCATAGGATTTTTAACGTGAAAGAAAATGTCCCCCTCACTCCCACCGAAGGCGTGCGACTTCGCATGGGCCGTCTCCCCCACCAAAGGCGCGTGAGTTGGTATGATCGTGCACGCGTAATAAATACATAAATAATAGTTTTGCGCACAAAAATCGCACTCAATCGCTAATTATACTAATTTAAAGTTGACGAGTGTGAAAGAGGAATAGCGCTTGCTGACCGCGGGTTTACGGCGTGGTGCCTGGCTATTTTGTTTTCACATTAACCCCACCGTTGGAGAGCCAAGCGAGCGACCACAAACAAATCCACAAAGCGACAATTTTTTACTTATATATGTAAAAGATAAAAGAAAGATAAGATATATAGAAGAAGATGTTTCGGCTTGGCTCTAAATGTCCACGCTCAACTGACGTTGGCTGTAAATGACCACGGTCTCTTACGTTATGGCAAGCTTCGGGCCCACTTCCTGGAGTCGTGGAGTTCTCCCATTGCTAGTATGGTACATTTCATTAAAGCGTGTTTAAAAAAAGTTTTTTTAAATATTACTTATTTTATGACTGAGAACAAATTGCTATGCCGCTGCTGCACTGTGTAGGCATAACTCCGGGTTTCACTTGTGGCAAGGCCTGTGGCCTTGGGGTACAAAAAAAACATGTTCACTATTACAGCTGTGCTCAACTCCTGGTTTATTAGAGGCTGTGGAGCATATTCTGGCAATTGGGGTATTGCACAACTTTTGAGTTACATTCTTCAAGTTCGCCTGTTTTAAAGATAATGTCTTTATCCAGGAAGGCATCGTGTTCCTGGGTAGATAAGCCTCAACACGTTTTTTTCAGGAGAGTTCTGCTTGGGTTATTTGGCCAATTAGTGTTTTTTTACGTGAAAGGAAACTGCTTTGCCCAGAAAAAACCTACGAATGAGGCGGTAACCCTCAAGCTCCACACAGAATGGTCAGCAACCTACTTGCCACACTGCTTCCTAGAAACACCTCCCCAATGTCCCTGTAGGTGAGCGGACTGTCTCATGCACATTGATCTTTTAGTGGTGTACGGATCTCACCATCCAAGCTCCTGGAATTCCACGTGTGCTTTTCTTTGTCTTTCGTGGTAATTACCACTGCCTTTCAATGGGAAAAAGTTATAATCCACAATCCATTATTAAATCGTTAAAATTAGACAACAGTTAAAACTGCACGGTTAAAATGTTGGAAACATATTCCTTAAATACTTAAAAAAGTAATTATGGAAAAACATCAGTGATCTTCAACTGTGTCTATGTCAGAAACATTCAAAACAATTCGACCCGAGGTGTCGGAGAACGCCAGTGGCTCTCAGCTCTCGATGCGACGCGTCGCCAACACAACGGTGCACACACAGATGGACGAAGCTCATATGATGAAACATGAATACTGTCAAGCGTGAGTGTTAGTATCGTTTTATTGATCTCGCTGAAGCCGCGATCTATAATTCGTTAAGATACGTATGCTCATGGACACCCTCCATATAGTGTATTCACGCAATGATACGCGATTGAAACCAAATCCCCGTGATTAGCTTCATGACTCGATTCTGTTTTTCGTTCTAATTCAAGCAATTGCATTTGTTTCCCTTAAGTCGGAGGCAGCTGATCGAGAACTCACGATGGCTTCTCCACCTGTGCCGCTCGTACATGCAACACTGCAAACGTAACTGTGCGCGCGCGCGTGCGTGTGACCCTCGTCTGCCGTCGTAGGTGAACCTGTTCTTCCTCCTGAACATCGTACGCGTGCTCCTGACCAAGTTGAGCGACACGCACCGCGCCGAGTCGCACATGTACATGAAGGCGGTGCGCGCCACCCTCATCCTCGTGCCGCTGCTCGGCATCCAGTACGTGTTGGTGCCCTGGCGGCCAGAGGGCCACGTCGCCGGAGAGATGTACGAGTCCATCATGCAGATCTTCGTGAACTACCAGGTAATGCATCAGATGTGCTTATCAAAGTGCTCGCCACAAATTGAGCACGATACCTCGCCGATCTCGTCAAGGAGCATAAACCATCACGTGAGCTCCGGTCATCCTCGCAGTAGCGGCTGTTGGCTAGCCATCTGAACAAAGGCGGTCACCATATAGCGTGCTTTATATGCCCTTCTTTGGCCGTCTTGAACCCTCTTCCTTTCGATGTTAAGAAGCCACTAGAGCTATATGCACTTTTAAATAATCGAGATTGAAAACTCATTTATTTAGAACTGCGGTTTGTGTTTAGTTTGTTGTGCTTTCCCCGCAACATCCGATTCCCACGGTTGGCTACGTAGAGTGCGAATAGAAGTTCAACATTCATGCATACAGCAACAACGGCCCCCCGAGATTTGTCTTGTTGCAGAATCCGAATTTTTTTTTTTCACAAAAGACCAGATTTGTTTTACTGCATGCTGAGATCTGGAAAAAAACTCTGAGGCAATGGTCATTGAGTCCAAAGATGCCCAGACATCTTCGTCTCCCCAGAGTTGTTTGAACATTGCACAAGGTTCTCACTTAAGGCTGTGTCTATCTATAGGGGAGACACATGACCGGTTCGAATGTCACTCGCCACTGATGTCTGCCATGGAGGGGAATCAAACTCGGATCGCCAGTTTCGACGTACTGTGCACTGTCTGTCTTTATAGATTCTTGGCGTGAGTGCTGTTTGTGAGCACGGCACATGAGGCGGGTGATGTGACTGGAGCCACGCCTGTCCACATTTGTCTCCCCGGCTAGTGCTTGATGTTTACTCACTGTTTTAGATTCGAATTAAGGCTGAGTCGACCTAGAGGAGGCCCAATATTGGTTCAGTTATATTTGGTGGGATAATAAAGAGCCGATATTTGTTTTTATGATGATTTGACATTTTCCGACTGAACCATGGTGAAAACTGTCCGTCTGAGAATCAATATAATGGGCCTCAAGCGATTTTATAAAAACGCCCATTAGCGTGTGTCTCAATTGTGCTATTGCCCTGTGGACCGTGGCATCGTGCCAGGAATAAAAGCAGAAGTTGATGCTGCACAACGACTTCTGGAACGAGGTCACTTTGCCCAACAGCATATGCTTTTCTCGTGAGCTCCGTGAAAATGGTTTGTCACGTATCAGTCATCCAATGAATCCTATATGTGAACATTATCTGTCGGAAATAAGCCAAGTTAAATTCATAGAAGGTGTCATCATCTCTGTACGTAATAATGCTAGATTATATTTGAGCCCTAATGAATTATTACAGTGATTTGGATGGGTAAAAAAATGTGTTTAACACGTAGGCTTTCACGACCAATATCATCCATAATAGAGGTTCTTTCGGCTAGATTGCATAAATATATGAATGTGTCGTTAAACCTGCCACCACCCGATACAGCCAACTAGTAAGGGTTGTTATGTAAACAGAACGTGGCCAATTCGTCACTAGTACAGCACACCGGTGTGTTGGAGAGCCAAGCCACAATATTTACAACCTGAGTACCACGAGCTCGTTGTAATTACTGGCGAAACCTCGTACTCAGATTGCAAATGTTGTGGCTTGGCTGTGTTGGGTGGTGGCGGGTTTGACGACACATTTATATATTTATGCGATCTAACCCCAAAAACCTCTATTATGAGTAAAAAGTTAACGAAGAAATGGTGGGAAACGTTCAGGAGAATCAAAGTCGAATGAGAGCAATTCAAGGCCAACACGCGGATTTGGAATACTGTGAGAAAGGGTTGTTGAAGGAATGATCGTGGGGAAGAGATAAAAGAAAGAAAGCATTGCTTGATATAAATCATAATATGAAGAGAAAAGCACAAGGTTCAGTTAGGACGGATGGAACTTGGACCAATTTACCTGCCCTCATGCATGAAACACAAGTGAAAGAACAATTACATTTGGGCAGCTGCCGTCTACCCATCGATGCAGCCAATGTCACCTCATCCTTCTCTGGATGAACAATCGGTAGAGTGCGAGTTCAGTGGTGGCTGAAGTCGACTGTTACTTTTGTTGGAAGTAAACAGTATTTCCATATTTGAAGCTTTCGTGACTGCAAGGATTCATACTCTTAGTTTTTTTTTCTTTTTTCGGTAAAGTCACGTAGGTAAAAAATGAAACTAAAATTAATAAAAATAAAATATACAGATATTTTGCTGTGACGGTTTCACCTGAAGACGGAAGCTTGTGTTGCCTCCGAAACGTCGTGATTTTTATTCTTTTATTTTTATTAATTTTTATTTAATTTTTTACCTACGTGACTTTACCGGAAAAAAACTAAAACAAACCTAAGAGTATAGTATTTCCATAATAGAGGTTCTTGGGTTAGATCACGTAAATATAAATGTGTCATTAAACCCGACACCACCAGACATAGTCATTGAATAAGGTTTTTTATGAAACAAAACATGCTGATTACTGACTAGTTCAACACCCCCGGTGTGCTGGAGAGAAAACCCACAACATTTACAATTTGAGTACGACAAACAGTGAGTTCGTTCGCAATACTGCTCCTCATCATGGGGCTGAGTAATTTTAACTCCCAGCTCAGAGCTTCCGTTGGAAGAGGACCATAGAAAGAACCAAGAATATGAATCCCTGCAGTCACGAAAGCTTTAAATCGAAATTTAGGACCTTAGCTCTTTAAATAGAAAATGCAACCTAAGAAAAACAAATGCCCCTCAACTCGGTGGAAAGTGCAGTCTCCAACTCTCATCCACTCTACCTCTCTAGCTCCATTCGTGTGCTATTAAGAAGGGTCATTGCCCAATACGTTTCTCATTATATATATATTTTTTCTTGTGGGACTGGAGTGTTATTGACCGAATATATAGTTTTTATTTACGTATTATTATTTGTGCTTGCACATCACTGCCAACCCAGTCTCACCGACTAATGTATAGCGAGACTGTGTGCCCTGAGCCTTCCAACACACATTTTGAGCTTCAGTGACGAAAAAATGATGATAAAGTTGTGATATCACAAGCACAGTAGTACTCATATTCTTTGTGTCTTTCGGTAAAGCCACGTATATAGAAAAAAAATCATCAAAATAATAACAATATCACGACGTTTCGTGGCTTTACCGAAGACCCTGCAGTCACGAAAGCTTTAAGTCAAGATTTAACAGTAGTACTATACAGTGACATGTGATTTCCATGATTTTTTGAATACAGCAATGTATCAAGGTCACAGGGGTTTCCTCCTTCAACTCACTTTAAAGTTGTTAATGAAGCACCAAACTAGCGTTGTGCAGCCCTGAACACACAGCTTAGGTTTGTAGCTGCCAAATAAAAACGTTTTGGGGGGGGGGGGGGGTTGTGACTTCCTCTATGCAGTAAGAAACATTTGAACTTTTAATTTTAAAATAGTGATACTCATGGATACAATTGAACACACACACGCTTGTGTCAAGTTGTGATCCAGAGCCTCTAATCAACATATTATTATTATTCATCCAGATTTTTATAAATAACTAACAGCTATACCAATACAGGAAAACATAATAATAGGTTTTACCCTTTCTGGCAATAAAACAGGTGTTAAGATGTTCAAACACCGAACAGAAACCCTTTTCAAGGCATTAAGTCTGCATTAACCACACATACTTGTGGTGAACATGCAAACAAACATGCTCTGGTAATAAATTCATTGTCTTTGAAACTCAATGGCCTACACCAGAGACAGCAGGCTGCTTTAGGGCCTAGTCTCACCAGTGTCAGACCAGAGAACGCCAAAAGGCAAACGGTACCAATACATTTGTAAATTGTTATACCAATACACTTGGAAATTGTTCTCCCCATATATTTGGAAATGAGTCTCGTTTAGTTCTGCTTCCTCTGATTAGACCAACTTCCTCACTTGTATTTCCTAAAAACCTCAGCAATGTTCTAAAATTATATTTGTATTTGTCTGAGAAGAAGTATTACCTAAAGTCAATGTATCTTATGCATTGCACTCCCAAATACGTTTTTTTATCGTTTTGCTATGCTCTCCTCTTAGAACATCTGGAAGTAAAAATAAAATGTGCATATGTATTATACGTTTCTGAGTTCATTACATTGTCTGTCACGATAGTCAAATTGTTTGAAGGCATGCTTTAAATAATAAATGTTGCCACTAACGTTAAGCATGTGTCCTCTTGCTCCACAGGGTCTACTCGTTGCCACGATATTCTGCTTCTTCAATGGCGAGGTACACTCTTTTCTACACCAACAACAGCAGCCGCCGTTCGCCACTAAGTGGTGGTAACGTCACCACAGTGCTTGTGCCAGGCTAGGTGCACCTTGAGGCCACGTGAAACATCGAAGGGTCACTAATAGGAGGTCATGGGACAGACCCATGTGCCAGGGGTACTTGGTTCGCACAGTGTATTCCAATTTCATATTTGATTCCTATGATTCCACCTTGTATGATTCTTGCAGGAATCACTGTTATTCTATGGATGATTCACCTGTTAAAATACACAGCCATTGGGAATGGGATTCTAACAGGGATTCTGCCACAGAATATAAGTGGAGTTCGATTGTGGTACTTTTGCAAATCGTTGATGAAATTAGCTTAGCTTTGCAAATTACAGCCATATAGAATAGTGATTCTGGGCAATTCTAGGAAGCCATTATTATCATATAATGAATTTCTGATCTCTGGTGAACAGAATTGGCCCAATTAAACACAGATTCCTGGCATGGCATTCAGGCAAGATGGGAGGGCCCATGGGGCCTGGACAGGTGAGTGGAGGCTGGTAGGGCCACAGCCTTTACCCACGCTCATATGCAGCAGATTGCATAGAGGAACTAAGGGTGTAGCTGTTTATATGCTTGGTTATCGCCAAAGCTACATACTCTATCCACATAACTGCCCCATGTATATGCTAGGCTGTACACGTTGCTTTGTGTATAAGCTGCTCCACGCATCTTCGTCAGCAATTGACTCGGTTAAGGACCATTCCTCGACTGGCCTCTACGAGGACAGCCAGACCTCATTGGCCTACCCGTCGTTCCTTAATTCCATGCCAGAATCTGGATGGAATTGAGCCGATTCAATGGATTCGGCATTGGAAAAAGCATTTTAAAGGGGATTCCAGTTCAAACCGGCCAGCTGCTATCTAGGTTATTTCCAGCCGGCCGATATCAATCCGAATCATCATTGAAATCGAATACACAGGCATCGGCCATTTGTTTTAATGGCGATTCGACTGGTTGGCCATGCACTTTGGAATTTCCCTTCTTGTCTGAATGCCTGATGGTGCCTCAGGCATGACAATTACTATTAATACCCACCAAATAACCAACTATCTTGAGATGAAATTAACTAGTCTGAACGAAGTCGCAGACTAAGATAAAATAGAAACATTATAAGAGACTACAGTGGACTCATAAAGAACACAAAATGGCAGTCATCTATGTATGTGTACAAAAAACTAACTGATTCCACTGATTAGCTGACCTGATAAAACTAGGGGGGATAAATTGCATGCCTCTCACACAAAAATGTTTCCCTCCACATTTAAAAACATACATTGAGATGATTTAGAGTATTTTGGTTCTCTCAATGTCCAAATGATGGGCCACTTTGTTGAGCTATCATTTGTGGCCAGGTCACTTCCAAAAATAAGTTAATACCTCAGTGGGCTTTGTCTGGTCGGATGGGGATGGTTTAGTTGCATTTGTATGTGCTTGGGTTATTTGTTTAACTTTCTTGTACTTTGCACTGCTATCATGTTTTGTATTGTTTGTTGTTGTAACGTTCTTACCCGCCCCGATTATGAACATTTAATAATGAAGAGTGAACTGCGTTTGTGACTACTTCAGTTGGCTAGACGTATATATGTATGTACGTTGAACTTATTTCGCACCGTACGTAGCCAACCGTGCTAATCAAAGGTGCGGGGGAAGGACAACAAACTAAATACAAAATGCAGTCTAAACAAATTAAAACTAAGAGAATACCTACAGACTCCAGGCCCGCATTCGGGAAAAAAAAGCGGCCTCTTGCTCGGTCTCTCACACAGCTTCGGCTCAGGCGTGAGCCACTCGATCGCGGCTCAGCCACGGCACGGCTCAAGCTCAGCTCATGGAAATCTTCAGCATGGCTGGGACCGCGCTCAAAAACGGCTCAATTTAAGCACAGCTTTGAGCCGGCTCACTTCCGCCAGAACCAAGCCAGAGCCCGAGCCATTTACTAAGAATACCGGGCCTTCGCTAACATTCCACATGTTGTCATCAATAGACGAGAACTATGAATTAAACAAATGTTGATTAAGCTCATTCCAATCCGCATGCAGGTCCAGGTGGTGCTCACCCGCCACTGGTCACAGTGCCGGCGGAGGCAGTTTGGCAGCGCTCGTGACGCGGGCCGCTCCTCCTCCTACACCGGCACGTCCATCACGGACATGCCAGGCTACACCTCGCACACGGGGTGGAACAATGGCGAGCATGCCAACGGCAAGTCCAGCGATGGCATCTTGTGCCTCAAGAATCAGCCCATCCCCATGTAGGCGGGGATGGGGGGGCACCTCGTGTCCACTCCCACGTCCATGGGTGCACGTGGCAGAATGGTGCAGCCAGCGCTGCTAATCTACCTGTCCACCGGCACCTTCCGTCATCTCTTCGCGCATGAACCCAACCCCCCTTGTCTACAACGCCCAGCTGGAGACGCCTACACCCACGGCATCCTCCCATTCCACGAGGGGTCAGTGGCCGAGTGGACGAGAGCACCCGGCAGCGTTCTTCGCACTGCACCTCATTGTGAAACTCTGGGCGCTTTCAGGTCATCGACGTGACCCCTCTCTTCACCGCCTGAATTCACTGGGACATTGACATTGTTATCTGGGCCGGTTCACTGTGGAGGATTCATCCTTATCCGGGGACACATTATTATTCACACTCAGGAACACGGTCTACACTGCACCCAGACCCAAGCATTCTTCCCTTACCTTCTCGTGGCCCTCGAAGCCACAGACGATGTGACCGCTTATATAGTGTGTTGCCAATGAACTTGATCCACTGCGTTTCTCTAAAAGATTAAACGTAACGACCTGCCAATATTTGCCCGTGCCAGTAAAACATGCTGCCATTTGTGACGACGTGGCCATGTCTGAGCCCCTCCCCGCCCCGCCTACTGCAGTAGGTCCTCGGTGCGGGTGCACGTGCGTGTGTTGTGGAGTCTCGATCGTTGGTGAGGCGAGGTTCACCCAGTATCCACGTGCGAGTGACACTTAACGTGAGGTTTTGCTGGTCACCGCCGTCTTAACGCCTCTTGTGTGATGAGCGAATCAATGACCATCTCCTCAAATACCTACAAGCATATGTGATTGCTAAGCAACGTGAATACATGTTCTGTTTTTTTTCAGATTAGGAAAAACTAGACAGTTCTAAATTTACCTATGATATTGGCTTCTCGGAGAAAAATGAAAGTTATCAATGACGGCCATCATTTCCCAAGTGCCATTTCAAATGTGTCGAGTACGAGTCTCGTTTCCCATAATGCACTCGGTAAGATAATCAGAGCAGGTCCTTCACAGCTGCGGGGTTTGCTATGGGTGCCGTTGCCTTTTGTCCACACACCCGGGCATGGATTCACCTTTGGCATTTGTCATTGCGTGAGGAGCACGGCGGGGTGGAAGGTCCTGCAGAGAAAGTCACCATGGAGGAAACACCTTATGATAGTGACCTCATCAATGCAGCAAAAGCAACACAGCTATGCTTGCCAATTCCCCCCCCTCTTACACGCAGCCACGCGTTTTATGACCATTTAATGCGAGCTTGTGTTTTTAGGAAAGCAACCAGTTTTGTTTTACCGTTGTTATTTTTATACAGAAATATGTAAGTATATTTTTTATTTGGGGTGCAGTCGTGGCGACATGTTAACTCCCTCGCCTGCTTTGCAGGAGGTCGTGGGTTCAATCCTGACCCGTGGTCGCGTGGATTTTCCTTCGGATCCTCTGGTCTTTCCCTGCACATTTAGAAACATCCATTTAGATAATTTGGCTGCTATAAAGTTGCACATGATGAGCCACTTAGTTGCGCTATCATTTGTGACCAGGTCGTTGCTGAAAAAAAGCTATATAGTTCAGTGGCCCTTACCTGGTAAAATACAAAAAATGTAATCGTTTAAACTATGACTGTCTCAGCAGCCAACTATTGTTTCTCATTCAGTGGATACTGTCTCTCTTTTATTAATCAGTAGTCTGAGTTCATCAACGAAGCAATTTGAACGCAATGCAGAAACGCTGCACGCAAAGGCCATCATCAGTAACGCGGCACTCACTACTGTGGAATGCCAGTCGGTGGAGGAACTTTCAAAGCCAAAGCAGCCTGCACAGAACTCCCTTCTGGCCATGGGTGGAAAAAACCCGATTTTTCGAGCTTCTCCACAATCGTGGGCGCCAGTGAGTTCCTTAGTTTGTAATGGATGAAGCCCATCGTTGAGAAGTGCGGTTCTGCAATTAGAACCAATTAAACCGGATTTCTCCCAATCTCAGATGATCGGGTTTAATATAACAAGTATAACCCGTAAAAACAAAGTTTTTCACTATAAATCCTTTATATGCGTGGCGGCTAGTCCTCTCGTCCTCTGGCTTGAGATGGCTGCCACCTATGGGTCAGATGATTGTCTGCCAGTATTAAGCAATTGGTAATTAAATTTTAATTTGTTTTCCCTAAACAGTGTAAAATTTTGGGAAAAAAATTTCACGAACATTAATTGTCTCGCACAACGAGTCTGTGTGCAAAATTTCAGCTCGATTGGATCACGGGAAGTGGGTTAAAAAACGACCGAAAGATTTGCACGGTTGTAAGCAAGCAAGCAAGCACGCAAGCACGCAAGCAAGCGAACTTAATATAAAGGATTAAAAAAGACAATTAAACCCGATTGTAAAACACCCGACTGTGCCACCCTTGCTTCTGGCCAACCACAGGCACTTACAACCGCAGCTACAACAGCAGCAGCACACTGACACTGGCATGGCTGTTGGTAACATTGCTTCGACATTATTATTATGTCTGCCAACCCGAGGGGTCCTTTGCAGGCATTAAACTTAGCTTTTGTTTGAAATCTAAACTGAGCACGCACGCAATCGCTTAGCAGCGATTAGCAAAGCTTTGTGTCACGATCACCTCATGTCCTAAGACTTTTTTTTTACAAATTGGAGTTTTCACTTTATTGTGAAGGATATTCCGCTTTGGTATCGTATGCGTACTTTAAAAAAGAATAAACTTAAGAATGTTTTTTTGTTATTAATTACAGATTTCTTAAACATTCACAGTTCAAATATTTTTGGCAATATATTTTACCAATTTATTTTATAGGAATTTGGGGAGTGACCAATTATATTTTAACGAATTCTAATTAAGGATTTTATATTAAAATTGGTGCAATAAGGGCTGTCTTGTTTAATAGATTTTGTCATAATCACTATAATGTTACAAAGTGCAATTGTATTTGCCCGCTGAGCTGAGTTTGATGATTGACCTCACGTTCACTGAGGTTTATGATTTATATCAACACCCAACATTTTCAACAATTTCCATGTTGAGGCAATGAACACCTTGAAATGACGACCCGCAGTTCGTGCAGAAGCAGGCACATCGATGAAGGCAAGATGGCAGTGGGAATCTGTTATGCTCGAGTGAAAATTACACTGCAGTCATTTTATTTTGCTCAGCCTTCGCTAAAAACCCAGTACAAACATCAGTGAGACAAGGTAGAGATCAAGGTGTTTATCGTTCCTGGTCTCTCCGCAACAAAGACACTTAATGCTACTTTCTGTCACCTATACACACACCTGTGCTTTTGGATTTCTGAAGCAGTATCATTAAAAGCAAGATAATGACAAAGCACACCCCCGGTGCTGTGATGTTGACTGGTTATGAACTCGTTTGGCGCATCCTGAGTTGACAACTGCAAATGGAAAATCTCGAGCGGCGATGTTAGAGTGATTGCATCGGTAAACTGTGTGTGGCCAGTTGCTGGCATTTGTGAGACATTAGATGGCCGCGTCTTCTCCAGCCTGCTCACGACACTCATTCTGTGCAGTGGACATTTTTGTCTTCTTACAAAGCCCCCTCGAATTCAAACAAGGGGGGCGTCTGCACCGTTCAACAGCCTCAGATGCCCCACCCGCTCTCCCACCTGTGCCTTACCTTGAGCAGTCATTCTTCGGCAGTCACATAATTGCGTGACATCAACTTGACGCGTGGCGGGCTGGCTGCATTGATTCCAATTGCCCTCCCCACGCCGCCTGTTGCGGTAATCTACACCGCAATCCTGTGAATGAGCAAGGCGGAGGCCACTGAGGTCGCGTGTTCAGAGACACGAGGTCTCGCAGGACGTTGCTATGGATGGATTAATAATCACCCGAGACGGTGACTCCTCCTGTGAAATTGCTTGCATTGTTTTTCACGAAGTGGGATGTGGTTTGGGGATTGACGTTCCTCAACTCCCTCCCCCTCCCCATTACCTGGGGGGGAGGTGAGGAAGAGAAGGGCAGTACAGTACAACATGCCCTGTTCACTTGTGGTCTCAAGATACCAACATTGATTCGGAGCCAACTATGTGGTATTCACTGTGTAACACTGATTGTAATTACGAGCGTGTGGTGTTGTGTGTAAAACGTGTAAGTTATGCCGATCCTAGCTGTAGTAACTAAACACTAATTAAGTCACTGAATATTGTTACAGCTTTGTTTTTACTATTGTATTATATTTAATGTATTTTTTTTTGCTAACACCAAGTATTCTGCCTTAATAATAAAAGTGTGCGTGCATCAAAATGGTCTGCTATTCGTATGAACATCGATGAAAAAGCAAATGCAATGTCTACGAAAAATGACGCGTTTCACTTGAAACTCGATTTGAAACTTTCGCGACTGCAGGGATTACTCTTTGGTTCTTTCGGTAAAGTCACGTAGAAAGTAAATAAATAATAGAGTACGACGTTTCGATTGCAACACAAGCAAAGAGGTGAGACTTCGACTCCGTCTTGGTGCCCGCGTGGAAAACTGAACGTCTCTCATTGCGTATTCGCCAACAGCGGCACAAGAGCGACACTTTGGAAGTTGGGGCCGTCTATCTTCACACTCAAGGTTCCCTCGTGGCTATTGATTCGAGTAAAGAGGCGCAGTGACCCGTAACTTGCTAATACAATCGTTTAATTACTGCTCTCATGCTATATTTAGCACTGACGAACCCGATTAGCGCGGTTTTGTGATGCTACGGCCATCATCAACTTATTCGGAAGTTCATTCAAAGGCATCAACACATCAAGTTGCTGCACACTTTGAATTCCACATTTAAATTCCCCATTTTCATTTAACACATTCCTGCGGAGGGAGCTGGTAGGAACATTGGGTTGCTCGGTCAATGGCCAGGGTCAACGGCGGCGTGGTGTGTTCCGCAAATATGCCCAACTGTGAGGGCGGGCACAAGCCGGCGTGAGTAGGTTAAACGTTGAGTTTTATAAGGGCACCACGGGGTGACCAGCCCCTCCCCACCCAGCCCCACCCCCCACCCAGCCCCACCCTCCACACCCAGCCCCTCCTCACCCTCCCCACCCAGCCCCTCCCCAGCCCCTCCCTGCACGACGGACACAATAATCCCCTGTGGGCTGGTGTAACCAGGTTCCTACCAGTATGATCATTTATTCAAAATGTTCACCTGCAACATCCCTTGAAATGAAGAATCTTGTTCGCAAAGGTGTCCAAAGTGTAAATTTCGATGGGCACTATACAATGCTTGTTTGACTTTCAGATTCAAGATAACAAAAGGATGCCACACCCTTCCGGCGTATTGCCCAGACCCTATGTGAGCTCACTTCAAAAGCAAAAGCTTACCAGACCCTGTCAGGCACACGTGAACACAAGGACGCACGGATACCTTGCTGAAAGTGTATTTATTGTTACATAGCCTTTACCTTGAACTGCACATCGTAATTGGAATGACGAATGCACTTGACGATCAGCGGAATGCAACAAAATGTACATGATCATTTTGCAGACGAGATACATTTTCATTGTGATAACATTGTGAAGAATAAGGCATCCGATGTAAGTCAATGTGAACGGGCCCAAATCACAAATGTTGGAGCAATATCAGGCAAAACACTACCTCTTCTTAAGATGTACACAACAGTGCACTGTATTCCCATTGAATGTTCCATTACCAATTGTTGATGACTACGATGTAGCAGCTACAAATGCTGTCATATTCACAAACTAGTAAGTTACAATTATTTCATCGATGTAACACCGTAGTATTGTTTACATGTTAGAGATGTTTAATAGCAGATGCCATCACGCACTTGAATAATTGCACACCCGTTATTAAATGTATAACCTTATTCTACCATTTGCAAATTTCCCGCAATACCCATAATTCACCCCAATCACAAATATACAGTTTAACAATGTCACAGATGTGTTAACACTCCCTATATTCAACTGGAATGTTATTCACACATAAACACGAATTGTTTTACGTAAAAAAGTCCAATTGGATTGCAAATCCCACAGGCATTAGCGTTTTTCTGCTTTCATTTCTGGTCGCAAATAGTTACCTACCTGGGGGGGGGGGGGGGTCAGTGAAGATCTGCGCTAGTTTAATTATTTTAACAAGCCTTTGTTTTAACTTAAGAGCAACTAAGCGAGGGAAAACGACAACAAGACTGCAATCATCCACCCGAGTGTATGTCCTAATTTCCTCCTGCGCACGTGGTGCACAGTCGAAAGAACACCTCCCTCTCTGTGCCCATCCGCGATACAAAAATCATCATCATCGTCATCATCCCAAGTCCTGTCTGTTGGGCACTGTGTGGAGGGAACTCAGATTTTGTCGTTCCAAATTGGGCTCAAAAGCAAAGCTGGTGGTTCTCCCATTGCACTGTGCTCAGCGAATGGGAAGCGTCGCATGGTGCATGAAACGGAGCCCCCCGCCCAGCACATTCTACGAAGCAGGCATTCTCGAAAGTGCTAGATTGTTAACTCCCAATCCGCTCCACGCTGTTTGGAGTCAGTGGCTGTGGACTTCAGCCAGATGTCTCGGGAGGCCTTTGGGGTGGGCAGTAGCCCCCACCATGAATCAGGTGTCAATACCGCGGTGATCCAGGGGCCACTTGATGGCACGGACAGACACATAAGCACACACACTCACACAAATAAACAAAGACAAGATCCGCCTTCCGCCCGCATAAGCACACACTACAGTATGCACATTCACACACAGTCCAGGAAAAAGGGTAACCAAAGTGATGAATTAGTAATGTGGAACCTGTCTGATTTTTATGACCCGTGAACGTTTCAGTTTCAGCACAAAGCACCCTGCAATAGCAAATGTCCTAGTTAGATATTGTCACATGCTGCATGCTACTTGCGTGCATACAACCAGTGAATACCACACCACATCCACATTACTCCATGTTGAGTTGATGCAGTCAACATGGGTCATCAAGGACATCTTCATAGATTATACAATTTACATGCAGTCAATGCAGCCAGGCAGGGCACAAGTGCCTCCAATTTGTACGCCAGACATCAGAATAAAACAAGGCACATGCAGCTAGTTGTCAGCTGAGATCAACATCCCACCTGGGATCTGTGTCAGAGATCTCAGGTACAAGCAATGGCATCAAGTAAATGCATTTCGATAAAAAAAAAAACTACTTGGAAATGTGCCGTTTAAATAGTTGGAAATTTCCTACACAATTTTCTCTGGTTTGCTCTTATTTTGTAACTACTGTAATGCCATATTCTTGGTTCTTTCGGTAAAGTCACGTAGAAGGGAAACAATAAAATAATAATACGTGACCTTACCGAAAGAACCAAAAATATGAATCCCTGCAGTCACGAAAGCTTTCAATCAAAAATTTACCGTAATGCCATTCATTATTTTGACTATGCCATAGTGTTCTGTTCGCCATAGGATTCACTACATGCCTACCGATGTTTGCTTCACTGAGACAAGTTGCGATGGCTGTGAAGCTGGTGAATGAACTGCAATGAAGCTCGTGAAATTATTCATCCACGCTTCAAACTGCTACAACAGACTCGGAGGCTTGGTCCCGTCTTATTAAGATACAAAATTAATTTTATACTTCTCACATTTGTTAAAGTTTGTTAAATCCTCAATTTATGTTTTGCCATCAGCCATCAAAACAGTTCAACTTTGCAGCCACTGGGTGCGAACCAATACACTGACCACTAACTGCACGTGAACAAATACATCGTAATACGGACATTGAAAGTAATGCTTTGGTCAGGAAACCATCACTGCATCTCAAGAATAAAATATCACAAAGCTCTTAGATGTTTAATCAATGTCTTATTGCAAATTATTGTGTGTGGCAGGAAACTGAAGAGGCTGAAGACAACCCACGCAAACGAGGGAAGAACACTCAAACTTGACGCAGATCAGTGAGCAATGCACTTTTTCGAGTGCTTTTCCAGGTGCCTTACGGCTACACACATAATATCGACACGATCCACTAACCCTGCTCATAAGTCATTGGGATTATAGGCACCATACCCAAACAAACTGCTTATGCCCATGTATCATTACTCGACCAGCAGTCCATGTTCATATACACTGGGGGAAGTTATATACAGCACAACCGTTGATGAAAGAAAGGAGCCTGGGAGAAACTCCACATCTCGCGAAGATGGGTGCATTTCTTCCATGAGATCGTACATTTGGGCCACATATGACAAAAATGTATTCTCATGTAAGTCACAAATTGTTTATCCCATCGTAATACACTCGGAGAACTTAAAAAGATGATAAAAACAGGTCAACTAACCGAAGCACATCAGCTTTGACAGCCAATATTGTGATTCAGAATAATGTTTTGGGTCAGACCACAGAACAACCCGACCTGATTTGTGTTGTCTAAACCTTCCACCACCCGAAATGCCCAAACATATTAAATTGACACCTGTGTGCAAATGATTACAGTTTCAGCTTACCAGTGAGTTTAATAGCAATTCTCAACAATTATAACCGAAATTCAGCAAGTAAATACATCTATTTTTCACATTCGGTTGTAATAAATGTCCTTTAACGTACCGGTGATCTAAAACAAAGATAATTAGCACGTAAAATGTTTGTTGACATGACAATTGAATTTGTTTGGCTGCGTCGGGTGGTGGAGGGTTTTTTGCAACACAAATTTGGCCAAACTTGTGAATAAATTATGAATCACACGAACCGTAGTGTGCCACAGGAGAGCCGAAAAAAGTTACTTTATTTCCCATTTCACCTGAGCAAATTGCATTTCTCCCACTTATTAAACTTTCAACAGCCATACCGCGTGAAAAAAAAACCCACTACATGGACGGACGCAGAAAGCAAAGATTTAAGCGATTATATAATCTGACAAGTCTTCTGCTCGATGGGATTGTGAGGAAAAATTCAGACTCATGGCAAGTGCAACTATCTAACACACATCAACAGCATGTGCAGCCTCCACATACACCTCCCTACCAACACACACCACCACCTGCACACACACACAACAGGTGCACCACCACTCACACGCCACCAAGCACGCACTCACAGCAAGGGCACCAACATACGCACACACACACACCTGCAGCGCATGACGTGCCACCATTCACGCATCTACAGCAACAGCGCCTCGCCATATACGCACACCCACAGCAAAGGCGCATACCATGTGCACGTGCGCTCCCTTCCAGGCCTGTCTTCCGGACGAGGTGCAGGTGCAAGTCACGCTGCTTAGCCCAGTATGCGAGACGCAACCTAGGAGGAGGCGTGGTGCTAGCGCTTGGGGCGATCGGACTCGTCAATGGCGGTGAGCAGGCGCTGCTTGGCGCGCTTGTTGATGTGCGTTCCCACGCACACGTTCACCAGGCTGTTCAGCTGCCGGGATGAGTACTCCTGCGCGTAGGAGGAGGGGTGAGAGGGGAAGGCGTACGGATGAACAACACGTGGGGAGCTACCAAAACCCCATTTCCTGTATGTCATGAAGGCCACACCTCTGATTAACACGGTTGGCCACGTACAGTGCGAAAGAAGTTTCACGTACATACATTGAGAAGGATCTTTGAATAATTGTTGGAACTTAAAACAGACGAACGTGCAACAAATGTACAAATGCTTCCTGGAAGAATGATTCATTCCACTGGTTGTCCTTTGGACAGATTGGTCTCAAGAATGCAAAGGTGTAATGTACATCACAGGCTCAGGATTGATAACTGGCAGACACTCATCTGAGGGAGGAAATAACTCTAACTGCCTGCTGTGAGGGCATTGAAGGGTTATCAAACTAACGAGAGACATCTTCTTGGATCTTTCGGTAAAGTCACGTAGAAGGGAAATAATAAAATAACAAAAAGTAAACATAATAAAATACAATTCTCACGACGTTTCGGCCACAACGCAAGCAGCCGTCCTCAGGTGAAGAACAGGGCTGTCGGAAAGACGGCATCTGAATGAACACCACCATGCTTGGCAGCGTATATTTAAGCTGGGTTAGAGGAGGAGGGCGCCTTGACAAAGGAATTTGCATATCAACAGAGGAATTTAGCTTATTTATGGAAAATGCAGCTTAAATATACGCTGCCAAGCTTGGTGGTGTTCATTCAGACTCTGTCTTTCTGACAGCCCTGTTCTTCACCTGAGGACGGCTGCTTGCGTTGTGGCCGAAACGTCGTGAGAATTGTATTTTATTATGTTATATTTTTGTTATTTTATTATTTCCCTTCTACGTGACTTTACCGAAAGAACCAAGAAGATGAATCCCTGCAGTCACAAAAGCTTTAAATCGACATTTAACGAGAGACATTGTAGTTGATGTGCGAGTGAGCGGGAAGTGGCGGAGAGGCTGCGGGGGTGAGGAGCTGATGAGGCTGGCGGGACACATCAGCGTGTCAGGATATTGTATTTATACTGGAAGAATCCGATGAGCTATAAAGCTCTTTTTCAACAGACGTCCGGTGTGTTTGGGTGTCCGCACCCGGTGCTCCTTGATCCAGCGCTCCATGTCCCCCTCGGTCAGGTAGTAGGCCTTGATGTACGTCTCCACGTAGTCCTTGTCTGGGATCGGGCGCAGGTCTGTGAGTCGCTCCAGCTTGAGCAGGAACTGCTGGAAGTCGAGCTGCATGAGCGCTCGTCCCTCCGTGCTGCACTTCTTGGCGCTCGCAAATCTGCACTCACAAGCACGCACAGTTCAAATCCAAGCTGGACCCATCAGTGTCGATATCTTCTTCATCTTCTACGCGTTTGCCCCACTTATGTGAGGTGCCCGCTGTCTTTGCCAACCTTCTCCACACTGCCCTGTCCTGCGCCATCTCTCTTTCCGCTCCTCGGGTTACCATGTCCAATCAAACCACATTGCCCCACCTCCTTTTCTGCCTTCCTCTTGATCTCTTTCCTTCCACTTGCATCACTTGCGCTTTCTGACCCACAGAATTTCCCTGTTGTCTCTCCACGTGACCAAACCACACCAGGCTTTTCTCTATCATCTTCTCCGCGATTTCTACCACCTTGAGTCTTCCTCCCACTTCTTCATTTCTCACCCTGTCCTTCCTGAGCACTGACTGATCCTCAACCCATTACCCAAATTGAACCGCATTGGGATAATTTCTGCTGGTTCTTACCGAATGTTACTCAGGACATCAAGGTGTCGTATAAAGGCTCTTGTCCAAAATGCCAAGCCATCCAGCGGCAATGGTTTAATAAGCTATGCACTGCAAATGAGACTAGGATTTGTCTTGTTTAAATCATTGTTGCTGGAAAATTCTGGTCTGAAAGATGCATTGTTTAGAAGAACCACATTGCATTTTATTTCAGCAATTAAACAAATACAATCTCTGCTGTTTGCCAATTTATGTATAATTTGCAACAAGTTGTAATTTCTCACGGTGACATGCAGACCAACAATATGTTTTACTGAAAATATTAATGGAAATCGTTAAAACCACCAAATGCACCTCCATCCTTCACCACACCCTTAACTCTGTGGCCGGTCTTGTTTGTGTTATCTTGTAATAGCGGCAAATGATTATTTAACTGCAACATTTATTGTACAGTAACGAACATTAACTTTAACACGTACATTACTTGAGAATACAATAATGTAGTCTAAATCCCTTAAATTTGGCTGTTAAAAACTAAAATGTTTCTCAGATTTAGAAATGCAAAGGAATTTTAAAAAGAGCAGCCAGGACTGGAACTACATTTTTCCAAGACCACCTTTTTAGCTTTTGTTTCTAATCCAGATTATTAATACGTACCATTAACAACCACCACTGTTGGTAAATGAAGAAATAGTCTACGCAACTATCTGACCCAAACATAGCCCAGCTCCACTTTTTTAGTGGCGCCACCCTAATGCTGAACATTTCCATATCCAGTGGCTCAGGAACAACTGCAGTTTTGGCTATATCCCACGATATTTATCGAATGGAATCTATGGTTTCATCCCACCGGGCAAAATTTCTTTTGATGAAGCAAGTTTCAAGCAATTACTTAACCGCAAGTTGGCTAAACCCACTGAGGTCCGGGGCAGCACCACAGGGCCTTATATCATATAATCACGGTTCTTATTTCGGTACATCAGGGCATTAGGTTATGTTTTAATGTGGTGCTATTGCTTTTATTCCCTAGCCCTTTCATCTTTTTTATTAAGCCAATACATTTTAAAAAGTTGACGCCTATATAAACACTGAGTATAAATTCCGTTGATATCATCTAGCATTCCAAAGTGTAGCCACAAATCTAATAACTATCGCTGCGGGAATTGTTAATGTTTGTAAAAAAAAAGCATTCAAGTATGATGCAGTGTAACTATTGCAGTACCCCAAACCCTGCTTTTAATTACCATATGCAGAGCCAGCTAGAACGCCAGTGCTTCATAAGGGGGAGTCGCTATTGTACTACAGGATGTGACTGCCCAAAAGAATGTACGTGCGTGTAAACACACAAACACAAAGATGCACATGCTGCGTGCCAGCTTGCATTCTAACGCTCATCATGCTGATATACAGCACGGAAATATCTTTTTTAAAAATGTTGTATTTTAAGTCGATCATTGCCACTCTTGCTCAAAAAAATATATGGACAATTGCTTTGGGAATTTAAAGCTTTGTGGTAACATTCCTATGTGGTTGGTGTAGAGGTTTTGTAATTTCCATTAAAAAAATATTTTTTTATTTTCAGGTTTAACAAGAAGCCGACATATTTCCCGAAACAAAACTAAAATAGACTCCGACGTACTATTTCTGGAACTTTGTGAATAAACAATACAATAACAGATTGCGAATAAAAAATTAAACGAAAACGGTTAAAGTGTCTGATTTACATTATGGCATGACGTCCTCTCGCGCTTAAACTTGACCCTTTCTTTGGAAAATTACAACATGCTTTGACAAAAATTAACCTTATGTATCGTGAAATAAATCAAGCAAAGAATACGCACATTCCTCACTCACTGCATTTGTAGCTGTGCACGTGTACGTGGAATCACTTACCCCTCCACCAAGGTGCGGTTTGCTAGGCGGATGCAATGCTCCCACAGGACGTTCGAGACGGGCACGGGAATACGAACTCTCTTCGAGATCTCTGCCAGTCGCCTGCTGAACGCCTCAAACTCCTGTGGGGCATGCACACACGTGAGCGCTGCCATCAGCTAATGCCCCAGTGACAAGTGGAGTCCATACTTTGCATGAGCTTCCCTTAGTCCGACTCGGGCTCAGATGCGTAGCTAATGCACCGAGTTAACGCCAGCGCTGGGGTTGGTGGTCCAGGTGTCGTATTGATGTTAGGCCTAGCAGCACACGAGCTGTATTGGCAATCGGGAGCTGGTGATAAACAAATGCCCAACTGATCAAAACTCGGGCAGTTTGGAGATCGTCATTTAAATGAACAAAGACGCACTTCTGGGCCTGTGTTCATAACCGAGTACTTTAGGTGCTACGTGGAGGTTCACGTGGTTGTGACTTGCGACAGAACTGTTCCCCGAATGTGAGAGATCGAGCAACAACCTACAGTCTGAAAGGCTGTGAAGTAAAAGTACGTGGGGTTTTACCGCTATAGGATCAACTGGTAACAAACATGAAACATGTATGATTAACATCTTATATATAAAAGTAATCTTTTGTCTGTCTGTGTGTCTGTCTGTCTGCGCACACGCCTTATGACGCTTTGAACTGACAAACTGTTGGGTTTACATCTCAACAAAGTACACAGATACGACACAATAAGCCACCAAACTTAAAAGTGCTATTTGTTTTTTTCCATCCGTAAAATGTAAAGTAGTTAAATTAACAATTTATTATTGTTATTACGAAGCTTAACGCAAAAAAACAGAAGCAGAACGCTGAGGTAAATTCTGAAGTGTGATGTCCCCCCCCCACCCCAATGTGTGCAGTTACTACTATAGAGTCGGTAGATACTACTACTATAGTCAGTAGATACTACTATAGTCAGTATATACTGCTGCAGAGTCAGTAGATACTACTGTAGTGTCAGTAGATACTACTGTAGAGTCAGTAGATACTGCTATAAAGTCAGTAGATACTACTATAGAGTCAGTAGATACTACTGTAGAGTCAGTAGATACTACAGTAGATACTACTACAGAGTCAGCAGATACTATACTCTTTGGTTCTTTCGGTAAAGTCACGTAGGTATAAAATAAAATAAATCACGACGTTTCGGGCGCAACATAAGCGTCCATCATCAGGTGGGAAAGCATGGTCTGCTGCTGTGGCAGACTGTTTTAAAATGTTTGAAATTGGCGTAGCCCAAGGGTCATAAAGAAGTGGCCGGAGCTAGTGATGTTAATGTGAGAAATTAGTATGTAACTGTAAGATAGAAGGAGAGCGGCCTCCTGGACGAGGGCACGGGCTATGTTAATGTGAGAGATTAGCATGTAACTGTTATAGAGTCGATAGATACTACTATATAGTCAGTAGATACTACTCACTCTATTGTATGTAGGGTGTGTAAGTATATATGCCTACGGGGGGGGGGGGGGGGTAAAAATATTTTTTGAGGGGGGGTCGACAATTTTCAGAAACCTTTGAGATCAACTATTTACCCCACACTTTCTATAACTTTTTGATTCTGGATTCTGCAAGCCTCTTCTAATTTTGTTGACGGACAAATGGACAGACAAACGGACAACAGCTTAGTATTTGTGTATGTTTCTGTCATGTTTTTAAGAGAAGACAAGTTCTGAAATATATTTTTCCCCTGGGGAACGCCAAGGACTTCCTGTTAGCCAGTTATAAATATTGACTATTTCTAAAGTGAAATTAGTGGGAAAAAACAGCAGTCGTATGTATGTAGTATGTGTCTTGAACTTATTTCGTACTTTACATAGCCAACCGTGCTAATCGAAGGTTATTAGTTCCTTCCAAACTAATTGCAGATAAGAACAGAACGAATCAAAACTAATGTTTTGAAATTGTGAAAGCATCTGATGTATCAGTGAGTAGTTAATGACTAATCTAAACAGCACTGGTCCCAACAGCCTAGAAAAGCTTACAGAGAAATACAGGTGTGTGTGTGTGTTAAGCATGGTCCGAGCGGTCATGTTATGGTTATGCGCTACGAATCCAGCGACCCGAGTTTGATTCCCGCTCACGACCAATATCAGTGACGATTATCTGTACCGGTCCTGGACTTCCCTTCTAAGTTGACTCAGTCTCACATGAGTACCTGGCGTGGTGTGTAAACACCGTCACTCGGGATACAATGGCGCCCAGGCGTGGTGCCATTCCAGATTCATAGGTGCTCTTTAACATAACTTGCCACCACAATCTGATAAGGCTATTTGGGGGAAATTTATCTTTGTGTGGTCCAGACCTGCATCCCAAAAACATAGGTTTGATTCCCAACCATGGAAACCATCAATGGCAAGCTCAACTTATCTTCCCCAGGTGACAACGTCATTAAATGAATAGATTAACTTATTCACTTTAAGATGTTTTTTGTTCATGTTTTTGTTTTTTGTTTGTTGCGGTTGCACCCGATTCAAGAGCCGAATGGCTCACAGGGCTATACCTAATAAATTAACTTGAAACTTGAAAATGAACTTGACAAAGGCAGAGGGGAGTGGTAGTAGCCCTCCCACCCCCATGCACTGTATTGGCCTTGATATTTAACTTCAAACAACACCTTCCCCCCTATACCAAAGAGGCCACACGTGGCATCCTCGTCCCCTTGCCTTGAGGAGCGAGTCCACGTAGGGGCTGTGCTGTGACATAATCTCGCGCACGTCCCACTTGACGCCGGCCATGAGCAGCAGCGCATGCTCGTAGTCGATGGCCTTGGCCGCCACCATCCAGTAGACCGGCTTGCGCAGCTCGCCCACCGTGCTCACCGTCTGTATGGGCACACATCAGCGCCACTGCGTAAACCCTCCCCCCTTCACATTCAGGGTCACAGTAACCTCCCAGCAAAGTGTCAAGGGAGCCCTTTCACGAGAGACAGGCCTTCTTGTGTGTGCATGCTGTGGTGGTGGGGGGGTAATAATGGATGAAGAGCAGAACGTTTGTGGTGGACAAGTGTACAGTGAAAACAAAGCACTGCCATTGTAGTTAACACTGGCTTATGATAGAATATATACAATGCGCTAAATATGTGGACAGTGCCCCTTATTGTAATCTGCTTTTTAAAAGCTCTGAAAAAGGGTCATTGGCGAAAACATGTGTCCACTATTTATCTTTCCGGTTCATGATGAGATGTGTTTGGCCGACAATTGTGGTTTTAACATAGGCGATCTTATTCTTTGGGTCTTTCGGTAAAGCCACGTAGATATAAAACAAATATATCACGACGTTTCGATCGCAACGCAAGCAATCGTCATCGGGTGAAAAATAGCGAGAGAGCTGCTGAGACAGGATGTTATAAAGGTTTGAGATGGGTGTAGCCCAAGGGTCATAAGCGAAGTGGGCGAGGGCTAGTGAAGAAATTTGCATGTCAATGTAAGATCGGAGAGAGCTGGGCAACCTCCACGATGACGAAGCTGCACAGGTGGCCCTTGTATGTATTGTGAGAGATTAGCATGTCAATGTAAGATCGTAGAGCCACCGCCACATCAAGGAAAACGAGCAACGGTGGCTGTGTTAGTGAGACATTTAACCTCTTAATGTAAAGGCATTTAACCTGTTAATGTAACATCAGAGAGTCGAAAAAAACTACTAAACATCACAGCCAGTCATGACTTAACCTGGTTAAGAACGTCCTTCCAATGATTGCTCAGTTTGTACCCATCTTCTCGGTTGAAATTGTGTCTGTGTTTATATATCTGGATGGCTTCATGAACGAATCTTTGCTGATAGCCAGTGGGTTTGCAGAGTCGTCGTGAAGGTTGTGCAGCTCTCTCTGATCTTACATTTACATGCATATTTCTTCACTAGAACCGCCCACTTCACGAATGACCCTTGGGCTACACCCATCTCAAACCTTTATAACATCCTGCCTCAGTAGCTCTCTCACTATTTTTTTAGCCGATGACGATTGCTTGCGTTGCGATCGAAACGTCGTGATATTTTATTATTTTTCTATCTACGTGGCTTTACCGAAAGACCCAAAGAATGTGAATTCCTGCAGTCACGAAAGCTTTAAGTCAAGATTCATAGGCTATCTTAAATTTAGATTTAAAGTTTTCGTGACTGCAACGTAAAAAAAAAATTCATTTTTATCATTTTATTATTTCCCTTCTACGTGACTTTACCGAAAGAACCAAGAAGAGGCTATCTTAACTCGAAAAAAATTCACAACAAATCGGATTGATAGAATGTCTAAAACAAATCATATCTTACGATAACGTACAAGATTTTGAGAGGCATGGGGAGAATGTCTGCTGCCTAGCTTCTTCTCTCTTATCTCAAATTACTTTTCTCTGATCTCCACTGCATTGAAGCTTTTGTCTTAAACCGGGACTTGATCAGAGGGTTTCAGCAGTGTACAAGACCATGAGTAAAACATTCCATATAGAACAGACAGCAGAGAACAGGGAGGAGACTCCGATGAAGAAACGGTCGACTCGCAGTGTCAACAGAAGGCCTTGTGGTTACTGCAGCAGCAAGGAAGTTGAGTGTGGTGAAGAGAAACAGGTATCGTTAGCAGCAACGAATCCATGGGGGGACCTTGATGACAGGGATGGCTATCGCATAGCAAATGTGTTGTGTGTTTAGGCGTCGGTGGAGGAATACAACTGCAGGGGCGATGCGGTCTCGTTCATGTGTGCGGTAAGGAGTGTAGCCGTGGCATTATATACTTAATCTATTTGACATATTCATTTTAAGTGATTTGATTTCCTTTCGAAAGCTTTACACTCCAATAGTTTTTTGTACTGTTTGTTGTTGTAGCTTTCTGACCTGCCCCTACTGGATATCTGCTAAAAAGAGCTTCATAGCTTACGAGGTTTCTCCAGGATAAATAAAGATTCCGATTCTGATGATTCGTGCGACAATGTAATATACACGTCAATGAAAATGATGATTATGATGATGAGAATCTTAATGAGGATGATGTGCAAGGCTTTGATGTGATCAATTTGTGATGTCTTCCTTTTGCTAATGTAATGTTTGGAATTTGACAAACATTTATCAACACCAAAGTCTCCAAACGCACCTGGGAGTAGAACTGCTGTAGGAAGGGCTTTTTGGCTTGAGGGATCATCGCATCGAGCTGGTTCTGAAGAAACTCAAACTGCTCCGCCAGGAACACCCTGGTGGGGGAGAGACAAAGACTGAGATTTACTGGTAGGAACCTCCTGGTTACACCAGCCCACAGGGGATTATTGTGTCTGTCCGTCCGTCCGTCGTGCAGGGAGGGGCTGGGTGGGGAGGGGAGGGTGGGGAAGGGCTGGGTGGGGAGGGTGGGGCTGGGTGGGGGGAGGGAGGGGTGGGGCTGGGTGAGGAGGGGAGGGGATGGTCACCCCGTGGTGCCCTTATAAAACTCAACGTTTAACCTACTCACGCCGGCTTGTGCCCGCCCTCACAGTCGGCCATATTTGCGGAATACACTAAGCCGCCGTTGACCCTGGCCATTGACCGAGCAACCCAACGTTCCTACCAGCTCCCTCCGCAGGAATGTGTTTCCCCTTCTCGCCTTAACAGACTGTTGGAACAAGTCCTGGAAGCTAACACCTGATGAAGGCCGGCACGGCACAAGGGGGGAAGAGTGGCCAGCACCACACCCAGCCATCTTAGTCTCCCCAGGGGCGATGTTTACACACCGCACCATGTACTCATTTTAGGTGGTTGAGTCAACCTAGGAGAGGCCCAGTATTGATTCAGATGCTCGTCACTGGTGTAGGCTGCGAGTGGGAATCGAACTCGAGTCACCGGGTTCGTAGCGCAGGCTTATAATCACTATACATTAAGACTTAATTATCATGGCTAGAATTAGAGACATGGTCAGGGTTAAGGCCTGTAATAAAAGTTAGGATTATGATCATTATAAAGAGTATCCATTTAAATTGAAGACCTTTAGTTGAGGCTCGGATAATGCTAGAGGTATGGTAAGGGACAATGATTAAGGTTGGAGGGTGAGTACTGGCCATCCAAGTCTGGTGAATGTTAAGGGCTATGGTTAACGATGAGGGTCAGAGCTGAGGGTTAGCAGACACAGAGTCAATGGTTAAGAGTTAAGGGCAGAGAAGGAGGCCCGCCAATGCTCACAGGGACTCGGTGGCAACGATCCTTTCCGCGAGACCATACAGCGTATCCGTGCGTATCAGGTCCACCAGCCGGCTGAGGTGCGGGCAGGGCACCTTCTCCCTGCGCTCCTCTGGCACACTCACCACAGGGTCTGTCTGAGCCTCCTGCGTGCGCACACACACACACGTGCAGACACACAGACACAAAACACGCATATGTACCCAAATACGCGCACACGCAAAGACGAGCATATGCACACACAATGACAAAGATCCCCCGTATAGCCTTAACAGACTGTTGGGGAAAATGCTGCTCGCGAGCACCTATTAATGCCGGCATGACACACGACGATGTTGACACAACGCACCAGATAATGATTTGAGGCCGAGTCGACTAAGGGGAGGCCCAGGACCAGGTTCAGGTAATCGTCACTGGTGTCGGCCGTGAGCGAGAATCGAACCCGGTTCGCTGGGTTCATAGCGCGGTGCGCTAACCACTACACTATCGCTTTCCAAAAACACACACATACATACACAAACTCATTCTCCATTTAGCCTCATAGGTGGTTGGGACAAGAGCTCAAGATAATACATCGACTAGAATTGCTAACGGTTTCAATATTGGCCCAATAACAATGTCACCGGGTTTATGAAAATATTGGCATTAACTTTCAGAACTCAAACCCAAGAATGTTACCTTGGCCATTCCAATTTTATACTCCGCTGCATTTTCATTTCAACCCCCAAGCTCACCGACTGAAGTTTGAACAGGGTTTACGTCTTGAATTAAAAAGATGAATGAGAATATGATGCAATTACTATGTTTTCATCACTTATTTTAAACATGTATAATTGTAATTGGCATGATTAAGACAGTTGTCACAATGATATTAATTTACATATCTGAATTCATGTGTCAGTTATCAACTTTTCCAGCTCCTAATATCGCCAGATACATTATATTCCAAAGCTAGATTTGAAGCTTTCGTGACTGCAAGGATTCATACTCTTAGGTTTTTTCGGTAAAGTCACGTAGGTAAAAATAAAAAATAAATAATAAAAATACTTTTATTATTGTTATCTATTTTTACCTACGTGACTTTACCGAAAAAACCTAAGAGTATATATTCCAAAGCCTCTATTTATTTGGTTTGTGACTAGCCATCACAATGGTATAAGCAATGCATTAAAAGTCTTCCAAAATCTGATTCATAGTATGTATATGGACGATGGTGGAGTAACCTTTACTTGCCACATGCCTACTCAAGTGGCGAGTTGCCCTCGAATTATTCTACCCTTTATGATCTTTGTGTACAACTTAAATTCGTACTTGGTGAATTGAAATGTACGGCTGATGCAGAGGTAATACGTTTCAAGTGTGATATTGGTCCACGCAGGCTGGCTGGTATTGGTGTCAATTCCAACTGGGCAGTATCAACCTCAATCACAATTCTTCAGCGTTAGTCAAATTTTCGATTTAAAGCTTTCGTGACTGCACGGATTCATCTTCTTGGTTCTTTCGGTAAAGCAGAGGTCGCAAACGGGTTTTGATTCCTTACTCGTACCCGTACCCGGCCGCACCAGGGTCGCAAACGGGTACCCGTACCCTACCCGTACCCGGCCGGGTACGGGTAGGGTATGGGTATCGGGTACCCGATTGCGACCTCTGGGATGAAGCCATGTTGCAGGCGCGGGTGGGTTGACTCTAGGAACTTGAATTGTGAGAAGAAACAAGACGTTGGGAAATGAGTGACAAACGGTGACTCACCAGTGACTCACGGCCTACCCGTACCCGGCCGCACCAGGGTCGCAAATGGGTACCCGTACCCGGCCGGGTACGGGTAGTCGGGCATCGGGTAGGGTATCGGGTACCCGGTTGTGACCTCTGCGGTAAAGTCACGTAGAAGGGAAATAATTAAATAATAAAACATAATAAAATACAATTCGTCAGTCAAAACTTTAAATGAAATTTAAACTCAGCTGGCCAGTCCCCATGCCGAGCTCTGCCGAGCTTGGCCTCCCCATAATTAAATGACTGTCAATTCCACAATCCCATGAGATTATGTATCGATTCCAAGAATAAAATCAAGATCCCAGGCTGTGGATCATGAGATTCCCCTATCTCTAACAAAAGGTGCAGCTTTGTCATCCCCGCACCTTCGATAAGCACGGTTGGCTATGTACTGTTGCTAAAGTTCAACACACATACATACGTCATATAAATGTCCATAGTAGAGTCACCACATATTTAAACCCACGTAGAGATATCAGTTAAAAAAATGTAATGCTTAGTCATAGACCGAGGCAAAATATTGAAGCATGCACAATGCATATGTCACCAAATTATGACCCCTTTTTAATTTAAATAAAAAATATATATTTAAAGTCAATATTAATGTGATAATGGTAAAAAAAAACATACCACTTATTAACCATTGAAAGAAGTAACACGAGTTCATTTACCCCATAATTATGACTCATTGTCCTCAAGAACACATCTGTAATATTACGCACAAGGCTACGTCTCCCCGTGGATTTGTGAGAATGGTTTGGTACAGCCTGTCTTTTAAAGCATCGAGGGATAATAAGTGGATTTTGATCAACTGTGTTGCTGCTGAAGCCAAATGGAAAATTTCATTTTGTGTTGATCAAGGGAAACACTGTGCACTTGGAATGGGGGCCATTCTAGTCCTGGGCAAGTCTCAGCTTGGCAGAAGTGGACAAAAAAAAAGAAGAATTTTCTCTGGACCATTCATTGGAAAGGATCCTTAAAATAAATAATATTCTGGACAAAAATACTGAAATGACCTAGTTAAACTTTAAATATGGTGACTATAAAATATTTGCAGCCGATAAATTCATTCAAAAGCACAGTCCAGTCGCAAAAGTGTTTTATATATGGTGCACATTTCAGCCTTTTCAGTACACATTCACAGGTCCCGATCTTCCAGGCATGAACACCAGTGTACTAATCTAACCTACAGCATATCTGAGCAGATGAGTACTGGCCCATGGTACGAGCAATGCTCCCCTCTTGTTCTATACTGGCTCAGACATGTGGTTGGTGTTAAATGGTCTTCAGGTGCATCTCTTCTTGAGGGCCATCCACACAAAGAATGGAAAGTGTACTTGACGAAATAGCATCAGGCATATTTTTCCCACAGCTAAAGCACATTTCATACGGGAGAAGGAGAGTGGTGAACCAAAGTTGATGCTCAAAGTTGTTATGTGGGGTCTCATAGCAAGGGCTGTTGGCCAAAAGTGCAGTCGTGGTGTGAGCAGGGGGTTCAAACAATTAAGGAGTGCAACCCGACCATTTAATCGAGACCGGCAAGACCAGTGTGCGATACAAAATCAAGTTATATCAATTCACATTTCATGATTGTTAATAAAAGTCACGTATACAGGCAGCCAGTTGTTTGTAGTTCAGCTTTAAAGGTGTTATTATAGACATGATATATTAAGAACTAGCTTACGTGCAAAGATGTACAACGAATATTTTTCGAATGGCTGTAATTGGGCACTTCACCCTGATTAACACATTCCTGCGGAGGGAGCTGGTAGGAACGTTGAGTTGCTCGGTCAATGGCCAGGGTCACTGGCAGCGTGGTGTATTCCGATATGGCCGACTGTGAGGGTGCGGCAACAAGCCGGCGTGAGTAGGTTAAACGTTGAGTATTATAGGGCACCACGGGGTGACCAGCCCCTCCCCACCCAGCCCCACCCCTCTTACCCCCCACCCCCCTCCCCACCCAGCCCCTGCCCACCCAGCCCCCCCTCCCCACCCAGCCCCACCCAGCCCCTCCCAGCCCCTCCCTGCACGACGAACGGACGGACACAATAATCCCCTGTGGGCTGGTGTAACCAGGAGGTTCCTACCAGTATCAAGCACTGGGTATGGGTGAAGCAAAGTTAGACAACCTCCATGGCCAAAACAGTGTGGGGGAAGCCTCCAGAGTAGTAAACTGACAGTAAACTTGGCGATGTAAGGTGCGAAAGAAGTTCAATATACATACGACAAAAGAGCCGCAGATTATGATTTTATATTTTTATACAGCAGTGCTATTTTAAACATCACGGAAACTCCTGCGAAACTCAAGACTTCAGTTAGCACCCATGTACAAGTTCACAATGCAAGCAGCAGTGGGAAGCAGGCAAACTTTAGGAAGTATTTCTCATTCTTTATTTATTAGGAAACAATGTCGTAATACCACAACGACACATTTGAGCTGGGAACAGTTGGTTTGCTTTTCTCAGTGCCGTTCCAATGTTTCCATAACCTGTTGTAAGTGGGCCAAGGCCATGCCTGTGCGCAACCTATGCCAGAAACGAGGCCACAAACTGCGTGGCCTCAAAGTACAGCAACGACGGGAATAGAAATCAGAACAAAAACCAAAACGCTATTATCGGAGGGATAGAAAAAAATATTGCAAACACCAATCAATGCAATATGAAAGGTAAATATTAAATTACCTACAGCGCAACATCGGCTCAGGGCAGATTACCTCTTGAGTGATCACATTACAAATTGCAAAACTAAGCTACAGCAATTGTAAACAGATATGTATGTATATTGAACTTCTTTTCGCACTGTACGTAGCCAACATTGCTAATCGGAGGTGCGGGATGACTATCGTATTAACTAATATGTAAACAAACCAAGGTATGTATCAGTAGTTGGGATTGAATGTTTAGACGCTTTGTTACGGTGAAGTTCAATGCAAGAGTTGTCTCGTGTTTGAGCAAGGCGAGTGATGGCAAGGTGTCACACGATCACATCACAGTTGGCCCACCGACCCGATCTTCAGAACTTACTCTTCTCTCTACGTGTGTTCTGAGGGCTGTGGCCCCTGATCGCTTTGGACTCAATTTCCAAGTTTATAGCTTTGTGGGAAAGACAGAACTTGAGCGCAAGGCCAGATTGGACAGTGGAAATGAGGCATTGTTAGTTGCTGTGAGGTGGGGTCCTACGGTGGCGGGATGTTAACTCCCTCGCCTGGTATGCAGGTCTTGGGGTTCGATCCCGACCCTAAAGCCTGTAAATTTTTAGTTTGCATGTTTTCCTTGTGGTAATTTCTTCTCTTGGTCCTGCGGTTTTTCCTAACACATTTAGAAACACGCGTTTAGATGATTTAGCTGCGATGAATTTCCATGTGATAAACCAC